GCTTTGATTTCTCAAATTGAGTTTTGAATCGTGTTATTCCATGTGTTTATAAGAGTTTTCCAGAAAATGAGCCCAAGAGGATCGGTTTTGAGTTGTTAACAACTTGGTTTTGAGCTTGGAGGTGCAATCTGGAATTTTCAGATTTCGCACTTCCGCTCGAGCGGGGAAAGTGCCGCTCGAGCGTGGAATTCGAGCATCCAGCATCTCTGTACTGTTTTGCAGTCCGCTCGAGCGGAGGCTTGGGCGCTCGAGCGGAGTCATGTCTCAAGCTCGAGCGGGCGTCGAGCGGAGATTTCACCCATCCAGTACTTTTACAGTACGCTCGAGCGGGAAAGTTTACGCTCGAGCGTGTACCTTTGTTGCATGTCCGCTCGAGCGGGGAAAACCTGAGCTCGAGCGGGACTCTGTTTTCTGAAAATGCTTTTTAATGTACATCTTTGCATCCTCATCCCATTCTAGGCATTCTTAAGCCTAGTTTAAGGCGTCTTGTTGAGGATATAGATGTAGAACACACAGAGGCATTAGGGGTTAAGTTATTATCTTTCCCAATTGTGTGGCTTAGTGTGTTCAATCTGTTAACTGTGTAGGGTTGGCGACTGGGGAGGCACGCTCTAGCATACTGTAGCCCAAACTCTGTGAGTAACGATTGTGTAAAGATATGTTCATAAACGAATATCTTCTGAACAAAATGAACTGTACTGTTTACTGAACTGATTACTGTTAATTGAATGAATGTATGTCCTATATTCTGAACTGTATTGTGGCATCCTTAGCATCTACTGTTTACTGTTACTGTGACAGAATTCTCTGTCGGTTCCCTCGTGGAACCACTACTGTTTACTGACTGATGGCCATCATTACTGCTCGGTCTTTTAAGACCTACTGTTTACTGTACTGTTATGCTAATGGATGTACCGCATATGACTGTACTGACTGAACAACTGAACTACCGTTTAACTGAACTGTTTTCATTACTGTAAGGACATTCATTCTCAACCTCTTTACGCATTATGTTATTCACTGGGCTTTAGCTCACTGCTCATATATATATGTAGGTGTTCAGGCACCAGACTGCAGCTAGGAGCGTCAGGATTACTCCTGTTTTGTCAAGCCAACCATTGTGCCTCACCGCGAGGTTCCGAGCCTATCTGCTAAGGCTTAGGGGTGTTTTAAGAATTTCCCCCTTCTGTACTGTTTTACTGTTCTGTATAGACTGAATGTTTCCGTACTGTTATGTAGGGATTGAGTCCCTAATCTGAATGATTGTAAATATTGCATACTGTTCTGTACTGTTTATGTATGAATGTATGAAAAATCTTTTTGGCATACAGACTGTCACAGCTCAATGGACATTATTTATTTACTGTATTGGCTTCCGCCAGGCCCTGTACTCTGTTTTACTGTATTACTGTTCTGTAGGCCTTCGGTAATCTCGGATTACTGGCCGGTTACGGTGCTAAACCCATAGGGCCGGGTTTGGGTCGTGACATGTTGGGAGTACAATACTCTCATTTTGCTGTGACTCTGTGTGTAAGCCAAGGGCTGTGTTTGTGTGGGTTTGAATAATCGTTTTGTGTAGCAGGCTCAAGCCTTGGAAATTTGTAAACCCTTGGGGGTATTTATTTGTTTATTTACTTATTGTTGGATTAATGTGTTGTTGCATGAAGAACTATTGTATCATATAATGTAGGGCAAATTACAAACACCCCCCCTCAAGGTTTGGTGAAAATACAGATTCCCCCTGAGGTTTGAGAAATTACAAATTTGCCCCCTGATGGTCAAATTTGCATAACAAATTAGGGGGGAATCTGTATGAAAATAAAAACATCAGGGGGCAATTTGTTATGAAAATATAAACCTCAGGGGGCGGGATGTAATTACTCAAATCTCAGGGGAGAATCTGTATTTTCACCAAACCTCGAGGGGGGTGTTTGTAATTTGCCCTATAATGTAAATTTGGATATTTATATTCGATTTTTCTTAAAAGAGCCATGATTGTTGTATTATCATTTGGGCTAGAAATTTGGGGCGTTACATTAAGCCTGTCCACTTTCATCGTCCTCACATGTTGGCCAATGGACACCTTACCACATTCCTACATTTGTTGCCCTCACACGAACCGGGTAGGTGGACACCTCAAACACAATCTCACATTCGTCGTCCTCACACGAACTGGTAAGTAGGCACCTCAAACACATTTCATAACATTTGTATTTTTCACACAACACCAACAATCATGAGGATTCTCCAATTTCATTCATTTCATCAATTTCATAAATAATCCCCTTAGAGTTCAAATGAAAATTTGGAATTTTCCCACACTAAGATTTATTTTCCTTAATTCAAGTATTTCCTAATCCACCATCAATTTTACAAAAACACATCATCTACAAAGCTCATGCGTTTATATATATATATATATATATCACATCTATCTCCATAGATTAACACCCTTTAAGATTTACACACATTCAAACCAAAATGAAGATATACAAGGGTAAAGACATTCCTACCTCAAAGTTGTGTGACGAAAAATGAAGGCCTACCTGACGAGCTTTTGGGATACCACGTTTTAATTGGTCCGAAGCGTAGCTCTTGGAGAGGAGAACGACTTTAATGAAAGAACTAAGATGGATTCTTGTTAAATGTAGATGAAATCTAGTGTTTTAGCCCTAGGGTTTTCGAAAAAAGGGAAAAGAAAGAGAGAAAAGATGAAAAAGTGAATCAAAAGTGTGTTTTGATCATGTTTTAAATCTGCTGTCCTGACTTGATTGTTCGAGCGAAGCTTGCATCGCTTGAGCAAAGAACCAAAATGCAAAGGGATCGCTTGAGTAAACTTTCCACCGCTCGAGTGGTAAATGCAAGGTCTTAAAAGTTTTGCAGAGTTACAGTGAAAATACTAAGAACTCATATTTTATGCTTGAGCAACAATTCCTTCGCTTGAGCGGTCTCGCATGTAAATCTACGAGATACTGGGAGCAATAATTTTTCGCTCGAGCGACAACACCTTCGCTCAAGCGGTCACTTAAAGTTAGTTGTTACAATAAAATTTCTCATTTATTATTTAAATTCTTCAGCTTAGTATATATTAATTTATTGCTTAGTTGCATTTTAGATATAGATCAATTTATTCATACAAGTCTCTATACTTTGTATATATATTACATACCAATTTAATAAATACGCATAATTACAGTATTAATAGTTGGTGAAAAATTACGTATCACGTGTAATACACATGCCCAACCCCTAATATTAATAAAAGGTGCATAAAAACAATCACAAAATGCAAAGAACTAAGCCACTATCATAAAATCCTAATAGCATGAGAACAACCAATATGGGGTTGTTTGGAATGAGCTAAATAAGTGCATTTTTTTATCTTTTTACGAAAAGATGTGCAGAAAAGTAGAGAGGTGATGTGATGGAAAAAAAATAAAAAGATGAATTATTTTAAGGATGCCAAACTTGGCCCAAATATCAAAAGGAAGAATAGCAGACCCATTAGCAACACAACCAGTTAAGCACAAGGGGAACAAAGCATTAGGTTTCTTCTCTGTGAGATTCAAAAATGACTTGGCTTCTTGTAACCTATCCACGACAACAAGCCTCCTTTTGCACTTTTTCCACACACCATATAAATACACATGGTACATTATCATTGGTGGTTGAATTCTAAAATTTTATTTAATTTCTTGATTAAAATGGAAAAACTTTTTAATTTATATATTATTTATGGCTATGGCATCTAGTATCAATGCTATATATATCCATTTTAAATTTAATTTTTTATATAGAAAGTCAAAAAAAGTTTTAGCCATACCAATACCTAACTTGAAATTTAAAAATCTTTTTTAAAAAATCCAAATATAATTTTACTCAAAAGTAATTCCAATATACTTTTGGTCTAAAATTTGAACATATTTACCTTATAATATTAATAAAAAATTCTTCTCTTTTTTTAAAAATAAAATAAAATATACAAGTGACATAAAATACACCTAGCCATATCTAACTTTAAAAAAAAAAATTAAAAATTAAAAAAAGAAAAGAAAAAAAAGACTATGTTCAGAATTTCAAAACAAAAATTTTAACCATTCCAAAGCTACATCCAATTAATTCAAAAAGGGAAAATATGAATGAAATTTTAAGCATATATATTTTGAAAAGTTCTATACCCTGAATGAACAATCAGCACCGAACATTGAGTAATTAAAAAATCTATACTTGATTTTATTTGTGAATAAATTAATATATATATATATATATCAACCAATTATTATTAATAATTATTTGATATCAGTGCATGTGAACTCGTATCCCACAATTCCATTCTAGGATTAACAAAGCCAATTTTGACCATTGGAAAATATTCAATAGAGAGCCTTTTGCTGTTTGGAAAATGATGATTGTCCTTCAGCTGGTGAAGAAGCCGCTATCTATTCCCAATTTTTTATTTTTTTATTTTTTATTTTTTATTTTTTCACAAAATGAATATGCAGATAAACTACTCTAACATATCCACTAGAAAATATTATCCTTTAACACCTATAACATATTTGCAGAGAACCCCACCGCACCTACGTCGAGGCTAAAACTTAAGCATGCTCCAAGCGCTAAAGAGCATACCTAACCCCAACTAGGAGTTTAAAAACTCAAACCCAAACCTTGAACAGGAATTTAAAAGTCTTATCCATTCCCATTTATTACACTCCCCCTCTCCGTCTTCTCATCGCGAGTAAATTCAAAGATTTCAAACACCAGATAATAAAACAAGGGTAAAAAGAATGTAAATTGTCTTGTGAATGGTAAAAGTAATTGTCCTTGCATTTCTTGTCATATCATTTGCACACTGGTAATGCCCACCAATTTAACCCTTCCACAAATTCCATCACACCAACAAGCATTTCTTCACAATAAGTAAACATGAACAATCAGTCAAATTGCTTCCCACAACATCTGATAATCTGCTGCATGTAAATCCTCTTCCATCAGGAACGGAAATAATAGTAAGCTAGACCAAGCTCAGTTTTAACATTTATATATAATAATAATAATAAACGGGCCATTCCCCCCAGTCCTAGTCACTGCTACAGGAAGGTCCTACAGGGTACAAACCGAACTTTTATAGCATAATAAATTGTTATGGATTCGTTCGATTTTTTATCAATCAAGTTAGAGCCAGTCAAACTTGGGATAATGTGGGAAGTCCAAAAGAAACAAACTGTCACTCAGCCATGTAGGTATAATCAAAGGCAGCGTAATTTCAATCCTTCATCAAACAGTAATCATGAAGATGTACTAAGCAATTTCTAGTGCCATCACAGAACCCATCTCTCCAAAAACTCAAATTTATCTTCATAAAGACAAAGGACAAGCAATTTCCAGATTCTTCATTCCAGCTGCAGCTAGTACCGATCATAACGCCTGAGAAAAGATAGGCAATTATTACAGATCAATCAAAATATATTGCAATATGCATAACAACATATGCAGATAAAGGACACAATAATGAAAATGTAAGTGATTGAAATTTATAGTAAATACCCAGAGGATGTCTACTTTCTCAATGCAAAATGTTGGAAAACAGGTGGTTCAATAAGGGAACCAAAACATAATGAAATAAACTACTTGAGCTCGGCTCAATTAAAATCTTGTTCGAGATCAGATTATTATGTAAACAAGCCAAGTTGGAACACATTTTAAAGCTCGTTATGTAAATAAGTCAAATTAGAACAACCTATTACTCAGCTCAATAAGCTTCTATGGATAACAAAAAAAATAAACTACTCGAGCTCGGCTCAATTAAAACTTGTTTAAGATGGAATCAAATGCTAAACAAGCCAAGCTTGAACATATCATGACGCTTGTTAAATTTTTCAGCCAAGCTTGAATAATATATTTCTTGACTCGGCTATTTTACAGCCCTAGATGCAACTAAATATCTAATAACAATTGATAAACAAGAAGTACCTGTGGCGATCATAGTCCCTGGAACGTTCTCTTGACCGTGAACGTGACCTCCGACGACTCCTTGAATCATAGTTGCGGGCCCGATCTCTTTCTCTATCTCGCTCTCGATCATACCCATGATCACGATCATAATACCTATCACGATCTCTGCTCCTACGATCATTGTCCCTCCCCTCTTCACGGCTATCTCCATGGTCTCGATCCCTGCTCGCTTCCCTATCATGCTCTCGGCTTCGCTCTTTTGATCTGTACGATAACAAGAATTATATGACTTCACCAATAAAATTTCTGACTCCCAAACAAAGAATAGAATAATAATGACCCCACCCACCCGCACTACACAGGGAAAAAGGTTTGAAAGCCTACACCATTTTAAAATACAGAAGGGGGGGGGAGGGGTTGTTGTGGTTGGGGGAATGAACTAAGATTACCTTCTCTCATCGTCATGGGCCTTCCTTTTATTGTTTCTCTCTTCCTGACAAATTAATTAAGAAAGTACTATTGAAACATCTCTACAACAATTTCCACTTCATCCAACTAGAGATATTATAAAGCAAAATAGATACCACAAAAATAGCACACTACCATAGACCATATGAGCTTGACATCAATAAGCATAGTCAATATGAGTATGTTCAACTCAAGGTTGTTAAGATCGGGATCCTACACAGGGTTGTTTTGGGGGTCTGCTAGATCGAATGGAGGATCATAAGATCCTACTAAAATGATAAAAAAAAACTATGGCTCTGTTTGTTTGTGCTTTGAAAATAGTTTTCAACACTTGAGTTTGAGCATGATGTTTGGTAAGAGTTTTGGAATTAATTTTCCAAAACTCTGCCAGAAGCTCTGTCTATATGTCAAAACATTCTGTTTGTTGCAGAGGGGGCGTTTGAGGGAATGGGACGTCCGGCCGGTTGACCGGCTGGCTGTCCAAAACAGTGATTTTTTTTTTTTTTTTTTTTTTTTTTTTTTTTTTTTTTTTTTTTTTTTTTTTGCAATTGATTTATATGATCGGGAAAAATATTTTCTGAAAATTTTTAAATTTTTTATATGTTTTAAAATAATTTTGAATTGTATGTTTAGTTATGAGTTGTAAATTTTTGTATCACATATCAAATGTCACATCAACAATTCCCCACTCAAATCAAACCTCTTTTTCAAAACTATTTTCAAAACTCTTTACCAAACAAATTTTCTACACTCAAATCATAATTCTACAACACACAAACTCAAAATATAACTCATACTCTCAAATCACATTTACAAAATATAACCAAACGCAGGCTATAACTTTTGTATGACTAAGTAATACTATCAAAATGTATATAGAATGAACCCCTCAAAAAAAGAAACATAGCAATTCAAAGTAGCATTCAAACCTTTTTTCAGCAAAGAATTGGTATAGAGTTGCGCTGAACAAAATTTGTGGTTCAAATTAAAATAATTTTTTTCCAACGAAGTTTAGGGAAAAAGAACCAAAGAATAACAGCAGCAGCAGCAAAGAACCAAGAAAAATGAAGAAAAAGGTAGGAAAAATGAAGAAACAGGAGAAAGAAAAAAAAAAAAGAAAGAAAGAAAAAGTGATACTAAGTTCTTGTCAAATGTTTCAATCAAAGTTCTAGTTTTCAGTCTCTCATATGTTTGCTTTGATCAGGAACAGAAACAGAACAGACAAAAAAATAAAATAAAAAATATACAGAGAAGAATAGTCGAACTACAGAACAGAGATGAGAGAAGAGGAACAAAGAAGTCAGGAGAAGAAAAATGGTGATTCGAACTACAGAGAAGAATCGTACACATGGAACAAGAAGAAGAAGAAGAGCAGCGAAGAAGAAGAAAAGCAGCGAAGAAAAAGAAGAGCAGCAGAGAAGAAGAAGAAGAAGAAACGAACAAGAAGACAAAAAAAAGCAAAAAAATAATACAGAGAAGGAAGATTCGAAGAAGGATACCTGGTTCCACAAAAACTGAAGCTTTGATGTCCAATTTCTCTTTCCCCAATTTGTAGTACCCTAATCGCAGCTAAGAGGGTCAATTTTTCTTCTTTTATCTCGATAAAGGGTTGTTTGCTTTAAAGTTGGCAAAAAAAAACCATATAAATCAGGATCGCATGGAATCGCGATCCCAATACGATCCTACCGATCCTAATATGATCCTACCACAATCCTGACATGGGCCCGATCCAAAATATGAGTTGGATCGAATGCTATATATATTGGATCGTAGGATCGTACAATCCTACAATCCGGATCGTGATCTTAACAACCTCGGTTCAACTCCCTTCCAAGAACCACTCCAATGATGTCCATGTAATAAGCACAAATGTAAATAACAAAAGTCACAAGTTAATTGAGTTTCCTTTGTTTTCCACCTTTTTTACAATTTATCCACAAAAAATAGATCCAAGGTTACAATAGTGAAGTCCTTAGATTTTATGGTGTTGAATGGACCAATCTAACTCCACAGGAAAAAAATAATAATAATTCCCATGTTACACAACGCTAGTGAGGCTGGAATATCAAGATTAAAAATCCAAAAGTAACTGTATTTTTATCTACCAATACCTTTAAATAACATGATACAGGTGCATGTCTCATGCATGCATCTAAAATCCCTAAAAATAGAAGATAGACAAAAACCTCCTTAGATTTCAGGAAGCTGAGAAAAATGAATCAAGACAAGTCCAATGAAGATGGAATGAGATTAGGTACACCTTTAAATGTCAAAACAGAAAGTCAAAAAATTGATACCATAGCTAGTTTGAGCACAGGGAATAAGAGAAGTAAGAAAATTGACCCCCAGAATAAGACATATAAATAATCAAGGACACTTATTGACTAATGAAACTTTCATTCAATAAGAAACTTCAAAAGTTATATGCTAATACAAAACCCTGACATGACCTGCAATCTGGAGTTGTTCACCTAAGTAGTAGTTAAAATTCTCTGGAGCTAGATAAATTTGGTTTTTTATTTTTATTTTTCCTTCTCATGGTAAATAAACAATAGCAGTTTAAATATTTTCAAAAATCGCAAATTGCACTAACAGTTCCTATAGTTTGGGGGTTGTGTCACTTTGGTCCCTGGCTTTTCAATTGTGATACATTTGACCTTGAATTTCGTTCCAAATAAGAACAATTGAAAGTACTACAGCTTCATTTCAAAGGTAAAGTTGTCAATTTAATAAAATATAAACTAATTTGACAAAATAAATGTCAAAATATTATTTTTAAAAATTATTTCTACCCACCAAAATTGAAATTATATATGTTAATCATGTAGTCTAATTTTGATGATGGCTAAAATATTATGTGATAAATTATGATTTTTCAATATACATATTTTATATTATTTGACACAAAATATTATCTGTTTAAAATATATGTTGTATGATCTATTTGTTATAAATATTATTTAAATAGATAGCACTATTCATGTTTGAATTTCGGATAAATTACTGTGCTTAAATAGTAGATTCTACTATTCACAAATTTGAAGGATTGATAAAAGTGTCACTAGAATTTGCCATTTTTCTTACCAAAAACCGGCGGTTCGATTGACAAATAATAATGAATTTGCCTTGGCGGTGCGGTTCGGTGCGGTTTTGGCGGTTTCGGCGGTTTCGGCGGTATTATGCACACCCCTACTACCGTCTACCAGCATAACTCAACCAACATTCACAGATTTATATGTTCTTTCAATTAGGTCAACAACTATCAACAGGAACCAGATGATTGACAATTAACACAATTCTGACAATAGCATTCTTGATCATCATTAGGGACAATTACAGCACAGTGGGTCAGACAAAAAAAATTATAAAAACACGTGGGGTGCAGCAAGTCATTCTGTGATGGGGGTGCAAGTGAAAAGCTATGAGGTGCAAGTGTGACTTGCACCCCTCAATGTTTGTGTAAAAAACAATTTTCTATCCCACTGGGATGTAATTCCCCCTAATAATTATAACAAGAAATTTTTTAAAACAAAAAAAGCTCACAAGGCCTCGAGAGTAGGGAACGCAAACAAGCAGGTTCAAGGTGAGTATATGGTTGTTCAAGTTCACTCAGTAAAAAGTATGGTGACATCCGAGTTCTGTTGCATGTTACAAGCCTACTCTGGCTTTGTTGCCAAATGCAAGTGGCTAGTCTGTTTACACCTTTCCTTAAACACAAGCCAGAATGAGCAGATTTTGCCCATTCATAAGAACTCCAATACGAAGTACTGGTTCTTTTCAACCGTTTTTCAAGTCTATGCCATTGAAATTCAATTAACAGACAAATACAGCAGGACTTCACCCTTTCCCCTTTTTAGGTGAACCCCAATATAAATCTGTATGAATATAAAGATAGTTAAGATATGAAAGCACTCTTCTCCAAGTTAAGAAAAACTCACAGATGCATAAACTGAGAATCTCTACAGAAGAAAGTGAAACATTTATACCAGCACCTGAATCAACATATTCAGAGTACCAACTTGAGTATATACCAAATGTACAATAGGTAAAATAAACATATAAAACCTCCTTAGTAGCACAGCATTACTTTTAAAAACTACATTGATGCCTACTGCCTATTGTGCAAGAAACATGAATTCTACATTCGAGGAAATAGAAAAACTGCAAAGGCAATGACGAAGCCAAAAAAAAAAAAAAAGAAAGAAAGAAAAAGAAAAATTGTAAAAGGTTCCAAATAACTTGTTTGCAATTCCAGCTTGTAACCCTTTTCTAATAGAATAAAAACAGTCAATAACCCCAAGGAATTGGCTCAAAAAAAATGCGAAAATAGATAATCTTTACCTGTAGCTCCGCTAACTTCTCACGGATTTGTATATAGCCCAAGTGAAGCTTTCCTCCAAAATGATCTGCTAAACGACGGTCACTGGAAAACCACATAAAACATCAGAACAGCAATATATATTCAGATCCTCCAAAAGATAACAGATATATAACACAGCTGCCCATAAGTTTCTAGCTAACAACAGTATGATCTACAAGCATAAAACAGAAAAAGACGCACATTCTTTAGCTGCAAAAGTTTATCCTCGAAAAACCGGCCCAAAAGCCTGCTGGTGACAAGGAGGTATAATCGCCAGGTCAAAAGCTGAAGTATTCACAACCCCAAAACCTAGTTCTTTGTCATCCTTAAAAAATCTACAGATCACATTTGTGATTCTGTAGAACAAGGAAGAGAAGAATACCTGTCATAAACACTCAAAAATGCCCCACAAATGTCACAGACACGTAGCTTCTGATCAGTCTGTACAAATATCATAATTTCTAAATGAGAATTGATGCTTAGATCATATATGGTCAAGAGTGAAATTTTCATGTTCAAACAACTTTTATCCCAAGTAGCAACCTAATCAAACAACTAACTAAAGATTTTTCTATAAAATGAAAAGAGAATCGGTTTTTAAGCCACTTTATCAGTTTTTAATCAAAAATGACATAACAGATAAAAGCAAATGAATAGTGAAGCTTAATATTGTAAAATATTAAGACTTTCTCCGTCCTCCAACAAAGGCAAGAAGATTGGAAGAAAAACAACATAAAGGACTCACAATGCGGACATCAGCAGCAGTGTACTTGGAGGCATCCAAAACAGGGTCCTGTCTGGGAGCCAGCTGGAAAAATAACACACGTGTGAGCAAACACATCAAGGAATAGAAATTTCTTCTAATACATTTAAACAAACAAACAAGACGGGAAAACATTAAGATTTAGGACATTATCCTAGATACAAGGAACAAAATATTCACAATTGCTCCTTTTTTTAGGGATCAACGCAACAAATAAATCATTCAGACTCACAATTTGTGGTTGTCCACGGCTGGCCAAGCCTCGAATTTGGGGTGTGACAATCAGTACCTCCAAAAACAAGTGAGACCCCTCACCAATAAGCGAAGTAAAATCATGGGCAGAAGATACAAGAAAAGCTCCCAAATAATCCAACAGGAACCAAAAAGAAATCACCAACTAGATGAATCAGACATCATCCAACCCTAAAACATAAAGCACTAAAAACAAAGGAATAGGAATTTGGACCACCAATCCTAAAACAAGATGAAACACCATAAAAGCAAGAAGTGGAGCATCAAAAAAGAGGGACTTGGGCTTTCTCAAAGGCAAAGGATGAAACTACGAAACCAGGCCTTTTGCTCAATGGTATGCCATGAGAGAACCTCTCAAATCTAGAGGGAGCAAAGCCTTTCTAAAAGCCTAAACTACATGAACATTCCGCTATCGCAAGCCGACCTTAAATACCAAAGAACACTTGCATACAACTATCCTCCACCTATTTAAACAAACAAGATCTTCAAAACAATTCAAATTCACTATTTTATCCCACATCACAAGCACCCCTCCTGCTAAACCTTTTGCTTCTGAGATTAACAAGTGAAGAACATATTTAAGATTCATTTTCCGCTTCAAGTATATAATATATGGATTGGCATACTGCAATAAATTTCAATTTTGTGGTCTATGGCTAGGCAATGTCAATAGAAACACAAATCTAAATTATTCTTATGGAGATTATTCTTGAGAAAAAAAATGAAAACCTTCTTAAGTGCTTCAGCCTCTTCCAATGCTTTTTGTGCTTCATCAATCATTCCTTGCTCACCTGAAAATGTAATTGAAAACTATACAATTAGCCCATGACAAGACATCAAGGCAAAAAAAGGCATAAAAATGAAAAAGTACCACTTTTCATACGCCAACTTTACTAAAACTTGCAATATAAGAAGCACAAAAACGGGACACAACAATTTTACAAAAATTAAGATACAGACAATACAGGGATCTAAGAAGCACAGACACAGATACATAACATGACACGAACTTGCCAATATTGAAATTTTAAAAAGTGTAGGACACGATACATAAAAGACATGCACACAATTTATAGTTTTACATATTTTTTATATGTCATGCATATGAATATCTAATTCAAGGATAATAAACAAATACAATGTAGCACTAATTTCTGAAGTCCTAGCAAGAAGAATACATATAAATTTATGTTGTTTTACTTTTATCAATGGATTGCAAGTTATTTTATTCAAACTTATAACGTGTTTCATGTGTGTCTAAACGCTAGACATATGTTTGAATGTGTATCCAATAGGTGTCAAGAAGTGTCTGATGGGTGTCATGTTGTGTCGGTGTCCAACACAACACACCACCTTCTTAGAACTGTTTGTACCAGATGGCATCTTACTAAGACTATCTATTGAAATTTCAGAAGAAGATCAGCGAAGAATCAAATATATATATCCAACAAGAAAGGAGTTCATTATTGTTACTAGTTGCCGGTGGGGACATTGTTGGTGAAAAGCAATTTTTGAGTGCTTTATCCTTAAAGCTAGTCATCTTTAAATGACATTTTCTGTTGTAAATTCATGTTGTTAGGCATTGAGAGGGACAGCTATTCTTTTTCAGAGATGGGATGTGAAGGAAAATAGGGCACCATGATCAGTAGTGGGTAGATTTTGCCTTTGATAGCAGAATTATTTGAGCTTATGGAATGTGTTCATGGTCCACATACAGATTGTATGGGGAGCTTGAACACATTTAAGGAATCAAAATCTGTTTTGGAGTATGAGTTTAGTCTGCCTATCTGTGTTAAAATTCTAAGTTATTTAATTGTTTGGTATATCTTTATCCATCCAGTTAATAGCTTTGGATTTTCCAAATTCTATATTTATCTTGGTTTTTTTAGTTGAAGCTGTTTTTTGTCTCAGCTTGTTCTCTGTTTGGCATGCCTTTTTAGGCTGTTTTTAGGCTGGTTGTTCTTGCTTGTATAGTTGGGGTTAGGGCTTGGGGCATGCCCCTTGTATTTGTGTATATTTTCTGTTTTTAATTTATGACTTATTAACCCCCCCAAAAAAAAACTTCTTGAAGCAATTCTAGCACTGGACACTGGTCGCCTTTTCACCTACAGTCTGAATCCCTTCAGAAAGGATGATTTAACTTAGAAGATGCTTTTCAAAATCCTTTAGCCATGAGTGGCAGAAACTAGAATACCATAGGACAAGCAACAAATAAAAATCTAAAATTGATCACAATGAAAAAATAGCTAGCGAAACATTTAGACATTAAAAATGATCACATAATAAAAACCCAAAATTGATGAAATACAATTTGTTGAGATTTTTTAAGCAGCCCAAGGACAATAATCATTTTGACATAACGTGAGCTATCTGGTATAAGGCCTTAGCACCCGCCATAGCCCATAGGACAAGCAATTAATAAATTAGACTAAATCAGATGCTGGATTGGATCAAACTTTATTTTGGTCAGAAATAAGAATGCAGAGATATCAAGGGCACAACAAAAATAATGGTGGTCATCAAGAGAGCACATTGCACACATGCACAAAAGTGGAAGAGAAAGAAAAAAGAATAGGCACACACCAGACGCCATAACCCATTTCAGGGCTTTCTTTAAGGATTTCTGGGGGAAGAGCTTCTTCCACTAAAAAGTTGCTGAATATAAAAGTACATAAATAATGCAACAACTTAAAAACAGAAAACACTGGCATATAAAGAGATTCTATGAATTTGCAAATGCCAAAGAACATGCCAGCCCTTGATAACATTGCTGACTCACATACCAAGATCTTCTGCTTTTTTGAGCTTCTCATTTATCATTTCTTGTGTACGAGCATCGGGAGCAACGACAGGCAAGGGTGCCAACGGTGGAGGATTTGGAAGGGGCTGAGGTAAGGAAGCTCGATCTTTGTTGAAGGCATCCAAAAGAAGCATAGACTGCCAGAGAAGAAATATAACCATTCACAAAAGTTTAAAAAATAAGAAAAGTTCTAGAGAGGAAAGTAATTACATATAGATAGCAACTTCATAATAAACCAATACTGACAAGTTACATGTCCAGAAAGCATTTCAATGATAATCCAAACGTGAAATTCATATATGTTGACAAGCTTTTTCACCTGTTTGTCAGCTCTTTTTGTTCTGAGTTCTTCCACTATTTCCAAAGCTTGAATTTTCATATCTGTCTTGCCTTCAAGATCTGCAAAATTCAAATTGTTTATAAGCCTCTACAAGTCTATATCAGCTATCTTATAATGAAGCATTGAAAGCCCTGCTGCCTCCACATTAGATGCTGAATAAGGAAAACAACATACCATGTCAGACCAGAAAAATGTTCTAAAAAAGGCAAAAATTTAGTGTGAAAAAAAAAGTGCATATAAATTATCAGAAAATCCATTCCAAATGATTTCTGTATCCCAGTGTTTAATGCATCTTTTACATATTTAATCAGATTATCTGTATCACAGCCAAAACATTTGTGTCATCTTTCGTCAGGAATGAGATTAATATGGACCTATTCCTTCTTTCTGCTGCTTCCTTTACTTGTATGTCCTTGATGATCTCGCATTCACAATTTCCTAACAGTTATAGAAAATAGATACAATAGGAACAAAAATTCCTTTTGCAAAGGGCGTTGAAATTGAACAAATTTGTAGCCAGAAGCCAGTAAATCTTTTTGCCATCATGACAATCACCCTAATAACTGCCAAAATTCCATTATTGAATAAAGCAAAATCCAATCATGCCAAATGAGCAAGCAATAACTCCCCGCTTAAAAAAAATAAAATAAATAAAATAAAATAATTGATCTACTACCCACATTTCCATAAAATAACCATTTCAATGTTCCAACATCACAAGACTTTCCCACCATGTAAAGCATGCAATATGATAGAAAAGACCTCTTGGCATCTGAAGGATAACCCAGCACTCATAAAATTTATTTATAACGCATTTACAAGCAGTGTAATTTGAACCAAAAGGAACGAACAACACAATCATAAGAGTAGCATTACAACAAATATCCTCTCTCTCTCTCAATAGCAAAACCCTTGAAGAACAAGGGTAGCAGACAAGGTATAGTAATCCCAAGTCACTTACCATATTGATCGACTTCCTTTAACTTCTCCTTGATCTGTTTCGATAACTCCAGAACCTCAGGTGTCTGCAATTCAAAAGAATCAATAAACCACCACATGGAGAGAGAGAGAGCATGAAATGGCAAAAAAAGATTGCTAAAATAATGTATACTTGGCCATCACCTGTGTAACCTCAGACACAGAAATTGCAATAGCAGCTTTAGCATCCTCATCCTCGAGACGTTTAAGAGCTCTAGTAATTTTCCTATCACACTCAACAATAAGCCTATCTATAACATCCTCCAAATCCCTATCATAGTTATCGATACCCTTGGCTTTGGCGTCCTCATATCTGGACAGAGTTAAAGTCGCATATTCAAATCTTTCATACCAATGTACAATTTCAGATTCCTTATCAAGAAAGAAATAAAGACAGTATTTGACAATAGAGGCTTAGCACTAATCCTAAGCCCAACCCGAAAAGATAATCGAGACTTAAAAATTAGGCCATCCCTGCCCCTAAAAACTAATCCCAAGGCCTACAATAATTTGGTTGAGCAGACCATTGGGTTGATAGCCACCCCTACAATAAACCAACCAATATGAGATTCTTAATGATGGTTGCATTCAATGATATTCGCAATAACAGCTACCTACCTCTGGAAGATTATAATGATAAAGAATGACATATAAATAGAACTTGGCTAGCATACTCTCAAATATTTCATAATGGGATAGCATTCCAGTTCTGTCTAACAATATAACCTAAGGGGGAAAGGAAGGGGAAAAAAAAGTGGAAATAAATGGTTTCACACCATCAGAAAAAAAGATACTCTTTCCTCAGCTGCAGTGAGTGCACCTTTGGACATGGTCCCATATCCATTTTCTAGAGAGAAGAAAAAAGTAAATAATAAAAAAGAGTTAAATACAATAAAGATTAAGATAGGAGTAATGTTATACAAACAAAAAATTCATATATAATTTTCATACATAATGTCTCTTGTGACGTGCTTTTTCCGCCGAAAGCCTGTGCCATAGCTCATCTTGTTTAGGGTGATGGAGGCTCTGTTCCGGCGGGGAGTGCTGTTGTAATAAATGCTGTGATGGGTTGCATTAATGGTGATGTGTTGTGATAATAACTCTGCAGATCTTTGTCTGCTGATGTGGCCCGTGTCCCACCTGCCGTGTGCCTAAATGCCGTTGGCCCTTCATGTCTAGGTGGCCTCCAGCTGTTCTGGGCCTTGTCACCCAAGCAACCGGGTTGTGCCATTGGCCCCAAGCACTGGGTTCGGGGTGGTTTACCGTGGGCCGTGTGCCTTGTGGGCCTATCCATGTCAGTTGCATTCAATGATATTCGCAATAACAGCTACCTACTTCTGGAAGATTATAATGATAAAGAATGACATATAAATAGAACTTGGCTAGCATACTCTCAAATATTTCATAATGGGATAGCATTCCAGTTCTGTCTAACAATATAACCTAAGGGGGAAAGGAAGGGGAAAAAAAAGTGGAAATAAATGGTTTCACACCATCAGAAAAAAAGATACTCTTTCCTCAGCTGCAGTGAGTGCACCTTTGGACATGGTCCCATATCCATTTTCTAGAGAGAAGAAAAAAGTAAATAATAAAAAAGAGTTAAATACAATAAAGATTAAGATAGGAGTAATGTTATACAAACAAAAAATTCATATATAATTTTCATACATAATTATGTGACTTATTGTGAACCTTTCACTTCAAAACAAAATACCAGTGAAGATAAGTTTATTTACAATAATGGCATTGCCACATTATTCATGTAGAGCTTTTGTAAGAAAGGAATTTTCCTTATGATAGTGATACAGTGCATACGCAATGACAAATATAAATAACAATGAAACAGAGATTTGAAAAATAAAATCAGTTAGTTGGTTGACATTATAGGAATCCAGGGCTCTGTTTGGTTGACTTTTATAATTTTTTTTATGAAAATTTTTCAAAACTAGTTTGATGAAAAAAATAAAAACACTAATTATTTTCATATGTTTTCTCTTTTATGGGGTTGGAAATAATTTTTTTAAATCCACAAATATCTTTCTTGGTGTTTATTTTTTTCAAACTAGTATAATTTAAAAAACAAAAAATAAATAAAAAAACAGAAAACACATTTTGAAAACTTAACCAAACAAAACCCAAGTTCCTTAAACTCAGGGAATAGTACAGAATGTATTAAGAAACATGATAAGTACCATCCTCCTCAGTACTAAATTTCTAGTAACACCGCACTTTTATTACTTCTCAAGTGCCTCATCAAGACTCTGGTTATGAAGCACACTTGACCAACACTGGAAACAATTCCTACCAATTTCTATATAAAGCTAGCTATATTTCATCAACATTTCACTCCAATAAATCCAATTATTATTTAAACTTGAAAAGCACTTAATCAACCAATAATCTCCCAAAATCTAGTTTTCTTTTTCAACAGTCAACATAATTAGACCCAGTGTGGCCACCAATAAAGCAGTGGAAAATGTTCAAACAATAACAAAGTTACAGTTAAATTCACAAAAAACAGTTTCCAAAAAAAAAAAACTCAACTCTAACAAACAGTCGTAGAATACTAAATTGAATTATAATTGCTGTCAGATTAACAAACCCAAAAAAAGAAAAGAAAAGAAACTAACAGTTTGAGATTCCATCCTTTTATTCTACTACGGTTACTCTCTAATCAAATAGAATTCCAGGGAAGTGAACTTAAAAAATAAAAATAAAAACAGTTTATCTCCTAGTTGGAATTATTATTTTTATTTTTTGGTTAGGTGGTGTTATTTCAAAATAAACTAGGGTCATTGTGTTCAGAATAAGCAATTTTAAAGATAATATTTGATCATTAAAAAACTACTTATTCATAGCGAATTAACCAAACACTCGTAAAAGCGCATGAAAACAATTGTATTTTTTTCAACAACACATTCCGTATATATATTCATAATGCATACATGTGTGTGTGTGTGTGTGTGTGTGTGTATAGAGAGAGAGAGAGAGAGATGATGGTACAGACGGTTAATTGGAAGAGTTCGTGAGGGCAGAGGCCGACCAAGAAGAGACGGCAGACATCGCGATCGTAGTACTTTCGATTTACTTCCCTCACGTCTCCGTTCCGATTCGCTCCCATCAGCACGTCCAGCTGCTTCCTTATCGCATCCATCTCTCTCTCTCTCTCTCTTCTAATAAAACTCTCTTCTCTGTAATCTACTCTCTCTCTCTCTCTCTCTCTCTAGGGTTTTTATGTGTAATTAAAGTGAATTCTATTTTTGCTGTTGAGCGCATCAGAGAATGGAGGAAAAGGCTTCAGAGTTAATGTAAATTGCGTCAGAAGCCCCTCAATTTTGTATTTTTCTTTATTATTATGCCCTTAAGTTAAAATTTTCATTTTATTAAACCATTTAACTTTCCCAAATGTAAACTTCACCCACTGCCGTTTCATTTTGGCCGTTAAGTACGGGAACCACTTTAGATGTAATTCTCTAAAATTTTACTTTATAAAACCAAATCCCCATTTTTTTGCCCTTTTTTTCTTTTATACAAAAAAAAGCCATTGGCCCCAAGCACTGGGTTCGGGGTGGTTTACCGTGGGCCGTGTGCCTTGTGGGCCTAAAAAAAAAAATTTGCTAAAACCTAAAAAATAAATAAACGAATAAATTATAAATACATTTCTTGAAATTAGATTAAAATATAAAATGCCTTTTATAAATTATTTGCATTGTCAAGATTTGTCATTTTACAGAGTTAACAAAAAAAATAAATTTTTTAATTATTTTCTTATATAATAATAAAATCATTAGAATTATTAATTAAAATATATTAATAATATTATTAAAGTTAAAAAATAATTAATATTTTACACAAATTATAAAATATATTTGTAAAATGACAAATTTTGTAATTTGTCAATAAAACTAGTTAAAAGAAAAAGGAATTTACATATAAATCTTAATAGGTAAACTTATTATCTAATAAGTTTTATGATAATTAATAATATTTTTCATCAAACACTATTAAAAAATTACTAATTGTTAATTTTTAACGACAATTTAAAAAAAATTATCACAATAAATATCACTAATTATAAATTTTAACAAAAGTTTAAAAAATTTGTCACAAAAAAAAGTCATTAATTATAAATATTAGAGATAATTTATAAAAATCATGACAAAAAATCATTAATTATTAAATTTTAGCAATATATAAATATATATATGAAAAATTATTTATAATAATATTTTATTAAAATTTATTTTAAATAAAACTTTATAGGAATTAACTTCAATTAGGATGTAGTTTAGCCACAAGAAAAGCCAATCCATTATACTCTTTTGTTTGATCAGTCCGTCCGATCGATCCGATCATACTCCAAAGGAACAAAAGGCAACGCAACGCAACGCAACCTAACCTCTGTTTCTTTTCTCTTTTTTGGTTCTGGAAAGATGGGACGACAATTGTGGTTGGTGGTGTTAGTGTGTTTGGGTGTCTTGGTTTCATCGTCGTTGGGTGCTGTTCAATCGGACGAGCTCTTAGCGGACGACGAAGAGTACGGACTCGAAGGGGGCCGATCTCCTTCTGATCTCCTCACTACTAGTACTAGTCCAAGTCCAAGTCCATTTGCTGTTCCGATAAGTAGTAGAAGGAGGAGGTCTTCAGATCTCGATTCCGACTCCAAGGTCCAGTTCCCCCTCGAGCACGCCTTCGGTGACTCCCACTTCTCCCTCGCCGGCACCTTCACCGCTCGCCTCAAGACCTCTTCTCATGGCTCCCAGGTTCTTCTTCTTCTTTCTCCCTCCCTCCCTGTTTGCTTGTTCACAAAACTCACGGAAACAAACAAACTTGTATATATTCGAATTCATTATCTCATGCTTTTGCTCTATTACTTGTATTGTGGGAATGATTTTTGAGATTGATTTTGCTCTCTTCTCTTCTGTTCTCTGTGTCTACTGTTTGGTTGCTGCCAAAACTAAGGGAAAATATATAGGAACCAAACAAACTTGGAAATATTATATTTTGTTTTTCGATTTGGTTCATCAGGTGAGTTTTTTATTTTTATTTATTACATCTTCTTGGATTGATTTTACTTTGATTGTTTTTGGTTTGCTCATGGAAACTGAGAGAGACACAGAAATTTGGAATATTATTTTCAGTAACTATGAGGGTTACTTACAGTGAGAACTACTGAGCAGAACAAAAGGAATCTGAATTCTCAATCTTATGTATGATGTTGCATTGCATTGCATTGCATTGCTTATTCAAACTTTACGAAAATAATAAAGCAAACTCAACTAGTTGTCCTTGTCTAATTACTCTTACCTCAACTTTAATTTTTATGTTTCAAACTGTCTTCTCTTCGGTTAACACAATGGCACATCATGACTTTTAATTCCTGGTTTCAAATTTTTATCTTTGGGACATCACATCTTGGATTATTTAAATATATGTACGTATTTGGTCTTCAAATGCTATACATAATTCTTAGTTATGCAACGACATTTATTAAGCATGCTTGAATGTTTCAATTACATTCCTTTTGTTAGTTTAACGTTATAAGTTGCTTGTAACAGACTCTCACCAAACTTCGGTTTTCAAGGGAGGCTTTTACTGAAACAGACAAGGAAAAGTTCAAGGTAATTCACTATCCACATTTGTCTGGTTTCAATATTTTTATTTTTGTTGTGTGTTTGATTAGAGAGCAAGATAATTGGAGAAATTTTAAAATAAGAGGAAAAAGATGGAATTAGAAAGTACATTTATATTTCTCATTGTCCATTTGAAAAAGGGAGTGCATAGAAAATTTAAGGAAGGAAAACAGCTACATCTTATTTAAGCAGTCGTAACTTGTTCTTGATTTGTTGTACCAAATAATTTTTTTCCCAAATTTTGTCCCATTTGTGGCAAGTGCAGGACAAAAGTTTTTCATAAATCGTTCACTTTATTTACTTCTTGAACGTCACATTGAAATCGGGGAAACTAAGTATTTTCCCTCCATAAAAGTGTATGGTTCTATTCCTTTTTCCCTCCATCAAGAGTCATTTATTTTATTTTTTAAATGAGCAACTAAGCATTGTGCAATGTTGATGCAATGATCTTGCAGAAGCTATTGGAAGGTGATGACTTCTACAGGATAAGAGTACCATCCAATGTATTGAGCCCTCCTGGAAGGGAGTATATTATTTCGTCAGTGAAAGTGGCAAGTCTTCTATAAACCACGTTGAATGCATTAGTGTATATACATATGTATTTGCTATTTGGTTTTTGCTTTTGGCTATGGAAGTTTAGAAAAATTGAGTTAGTGGCTTAATGGCTTATGTTCTAAAGTGTAATTTCACTATAGGCAAGTAGAGAAATCAAACTTTTTATCCAATTAGTTGAATCATCATATTTGATTTTATTTTTGGGTTAATTAAAAGGACACCTCCTCAACTTATCATTGAATATCACTTAACTCACTCAACTATAACATTGTATTACTTATTTTCACCCCTACCAAAAAGGGAGTGGGAGGGCTATTTGTACAGGTAATTTATAGTTGAGGGGTCCAAATGTACAAGTTTATAGTTATGGGGGTTAAGTAATATTCAACATCAATGGTTAGTAATCATAATGGCACCTTTGTCTTTATGATTCAACCTCTCTCTCTCTCTCTCTATATATATATATATATATGCAACAAATAATGGATTTCCGCTGTAGTGATTTTTCTATTTTTTCATCTATCTACATAGGGTAAGTAGTTGACTGTTGTTTTCTTTAACACCAGAGATGTCTTCCGCGGGATCGTTTGGATGAGCATTTTGTTATACATATGGTAAGTGATCAGTTGATGTCTTGATATCTTGTGTTCTTATGAGAATGATGATCGATCTTTTGCTCTCAGCACCGAGCTAACATTTGATGACCTTTAGAATGAGAAGTTGAGGTTTAGACAGGAATAAAGAGAAGAGAACATGAGAAAGCTTTAGCAATTGCACCTAGATTCTTTAAGTATTTCTCCCAAGGAAGGATGCATCACACATCCTCAAGTAATATGCTTTGAAAAATTTCTACAATAATATTATGGTTTTACGCATAATTTTATGGTTAACTCGAATTATGAAATATGTTTGCTAGGGGAATCTCTGACTACACATGTCAGACACTCATGACATATCCTGTAGCCTTTCCCAAGTGTTGAGTGCCCTACATGGGTACATATATTTAGAAGAATCCATGTAACATTGCCTAAGCCGTAGCTTTCTACCTCAGATCAATTGAGCTAGATGAGTTGGGGAAGTTTGTTGGAGATTGATCCCCTTGAGCTATAAGAAAATACAGGGTTTCACAGCCCGATGAAGAAGAAAACAATGAGTTGGGAACAGTTTTGGTTGTTGACACCATTATAAAAGGTGTTTAGGATGAGAAGTTGAGGGTTAGACAGGAATAAAGAGAAGAGAACATGAGAAAGCTTTAGCAATTGCACCTAGATTCTTTAAGTATTTCTCCCGAGGAAGGATGCATCACACATCCTTAAGTAATATGCTTTGAAAAATTTCTACAATAACATTACGGTTTTTCGCATAATTTTATGGTTAACTCGAATTATGAAATATGTTTGCTAGGGGAATCTCTGACTACACATGTCAGACACTCATGACATATCCTGTAGCCTTACCCAAGTGTTGAGTGCCCTACATGGGTACATATATTTAGAAGAATCCATGTAACATTGCCTAAGCCGTAGCTTTCTACCTCAGATCAACCGAGCTAGATGAGTTGGGGAAGTTTGTTGGAGGTTGATCCCCTTGAGCTATAAGAAAATACAAGGTTTCACAGCCCGATGAAGAAGAAAACAATAAGTTGGGAACAGTTTTGGTTGTTGACACCATTATAAAAGGTGTGAGCATGGGAAGACATGATTGGTTTATGAAGTGGACCATCTAAGCATTATAACTTTTATTAAGTGAATTTACCATCTTTCTTATTATCTTATCTTTATGTTTCTATAGTTTTATTTCCTATTGATGTCATTCTATTGTTTGTAATGTTTTATTGTCAATTGTTTATTGTTCAATATTTTTCTGCATTTTTTTACTGTTTGACAGGTACAAACTCTGACATAAATTCTTTTTTGCTTATCTTCATCCTTTTTCAATGTGTCTTGTTACAGGACGGTGTTAATATCTTGACTATTAATTATGGTTCTCCTGGGGCATGTCCATATCCTCGGCAATTGAAACTTGTAAGTTTGGGTCTGGGTCTGCAGTTTCTATTTACCATCTCTCTCTCTCTCTCTCTCTCTCTCTCTCTCTCTCTCTCTCTCGAAAACAATGAGTTTGGGTCTGGGTCTGCAGTTTCTATTTCCCATCTTTCTCTCTCTCTTTCATCCATTCCTTCTACTTCTATTCAATGCGTTTGTTATAAAAAAAAAAAATGCAGAGCTAGATAACATGTCTTCTTTTGATCACTCTTTAAGCTTCTGCAATTAGAACTCCTGCAACAGAAAAGAAACTGACAATTTATGACAAGCCCGAGTGTTTACAATCCTATGCTTTTCTGGGTTGAATTTGGCTAGCTGGTGTCTGGGCTGCCTTACTGGGGCTGTTGTCTTGGTACTGATAGCTCATTAGTTTAAACTTGTTCTTATAAAGTATGTCGTCTAAATAAAGTTGAAATGATTATTGCTTTTAGTTTTTCATGTGATTCCAAAGTATTGTAGCACAACCCAATGTTTTAATTTTGTTATGGATTCAATTATTTTAAATATGTGAAACAGAAAATTCGTAATCTTTCAGCTCAAATGCTTCTGTTAACATTTGTAGTTGTTCAGTTGAAAACAATTGGATAAAATGTGACCGTTGACTCAACAATGATGACAAACAAAAGTAAACCTAGGTTTTGACTCAATTCTCTTTCTTAGGTTCAACCTTGGATGGAGGAGCGGTAGGTTGACTAGTTGAGGGACTAGAGACCTCACCCTTGGTTTAACAAAAACAGTCTGGAATTGTTTTCCAATTAAGTGCTCATATCCTAAACCACTCATGTCAAAGGGATGCTTGCTTATGCCTATAAGATGGTTAATTGATTCAGTCTCACTTGTCATTTTTACTATGGACACCTTAGACACTCAATTCTTGTTCCAATTCAACTATCCCACTGATCTGCGATTTATTGCCTCTATTTCAGCCCTCAAAGTGGTCATTCAAATCACACACTGTCTTAAAGTACAGCGAGCAGGCACCAAGGTAAATACCTCATGCATTGCCTTAATCTTTCCATATTTTAAAATAAAAGTTTTATAAAGGATTTGATTAAATTTGTATTGGACCTCAGAGGTTTAAGCTTTTAGAAATCAACTTTTGATTTTGAGAGAAGTACATGTGACTATGAGTCAGTCTAATGAATTTGGTGTTCTCCTTGTATAATATATGTGACATTGTAATCCACCTGCATGTTCAAAATATCCACAGCCCACCATATCCGATGAAACTTGTAATCCTACTGCATTTTCATCTAATGCCCAACTACATTTCTCATTTGACCATGAAGATAATTATCATATTTTGTCTTTCCATTTGCATTCTCAAGTTAGTTAATACAATTCTTGAAACAGAACTCCAGCATTTGCAGAAGAGATACTTGGTGGTGAGAATGGAGAGGGTGAAGGTTTAAAGCCACCAGAAAGGTCCTTTTTGACTAAATATGTAAGTATTTAATGAAGGAAATCTTTTTCTTAGTACTTCTTGATTTGGTCTCTCTACATCATAACAGCACGTTAGTTTCTAAATACCTTACCTTCGTGTTTTGTCTATGTTTCAGTGGATGTATTTGGTCCCTCTTGGACTAATTGTCATGAATGCTATCACCCAAGCCGCGAACATGCCTGAGGAACAGGCTTCTGGGCAATCAGCCTCTCAAACTAGGCCAGCAGCACCGCCACCGATCCAACATGGGCAAAGTGCTGCTTTGAGAGGAAGATGACAAGTCCCCTGCCCTCTCTTTTGTTGTTGTGGTGTGGTTCAGGGTTGGTTCACATGAAGTAGAATCTATTGCATTCTTTGAATGCATATGAAAGACAAGCACATTATTGTCTGTTCTTTTAGGAAATACTTATATTTATTCTGCAGTAGCAACTCATGTTATCATTTGGGAGACTGCAATTTGTGCTTAATGAGCATCCAGAGAGCCCAGCTGTCACCAAGAATTACATGTTATTGATGATCCTTGTTCGATCACACTCTCTCTCTCTTTCTCTCTCTCTCTCTCTCTCTAAAGAATTTTTGGAATCATTTGTCATGATATCACTACAGGTGTTAAAAGTTCAACTGTTGAGTATTTGAACTTTTTGGAAAGTCTTGCATGTTATGGAATTATAGGGTAAAAATCACCAACACTAGATATTTGGCAAATAATAAACGGACATTTCTTGACATTTTCATAAAAAGAAATAGAGATCTTGACATTTGAAGGTTGAATTAATTGAGCCCCAAAGTCTCACTTACAGTACAGTCACGATTCTAGTTGATATAAACCAAAACAAACCTGAGAGATAAACAACATAGATGACAATCACCTCCAATATAATGAACTGCATTCTTCAAATCTATAGAGGCAGACAAGTACATAGGACTGTGACCAAAATTGAGTAATGAATTTATATACACGCATATAAAGCCAAAATGTCCCAGTTTTTTTTGTTTTTTCAAAATACCCCAATAACAATTCTATGGGCAATTGTTCTCTAAATTAATTTTTTTTCCCAAATCTCTGACTTTTTTATTTTCATATTTTGAATTCAATCATATACTTCACAATCTTATTTTATTGAAACAAAATCATTATATACACACGGATTGGTATGCTACCACTTCTAGAATATATATATATATATATTTCAAGGAGTTCTTAATGGTGAAAGAAAGCATATTTAGTTTGCACATTCAAAACATAATTTCTAATATATAAAATTGAGAAGGAATAGGATGCTTGCTAGCCACCCCATTAAAAGCCTTGTAGATGTTACAAGGAGAGACACAACAAACAACATACATGGTTCAACGATTACCATAATACTAAGTCCTAGCAGTTAAGTCTTTTAAACCAACCAAACTTCCAAACAAGTTCTCTTTCACAAGAGACAATAACAAGACCGCTTGAGCATTAGCAACTCAACTGACCACTTTTATTCCACACAAAGACACCCAAATCCACTTTATTTCTCCTCCTCCTCAATCTTCATTTGTAGCCGTTACTTGGACGCAGAAGGCTTTGCACCCTTGGTCTGCTCAACTGCTTCCTTTGACCCTATCAATGTAAAGAAGTACATATATTTAGTAATTGTTTGAGAAAGACACATTATTGTTGAGAGTGAAACAAAGAGAGCTAGAGATTGGAGAGGGAAGGTACAACAAATTGCATGCATGTTAGTAGTATAGCAATTTTCCTACATGTCATGTCCTATAGAGATTAGGGAAGGAGGGACGTTCCAATTAGTCTTACAGCCACACAAAAAGAAAAAAGAAAAAACATAGAATTTGGACTTTCCACTGTTAACATATTAGACTAGTTGTGATAATCTTATACAAAACCTACTAACAATTGACCATGCCATGTAGAAGATAAAAAAACTTCCTTAAAATAGTACTTCATAAACTTTTTCAAAATAGCGTTATTCCTTAGATGTATCATGGGCTCAATACACAATCAATCCTTAGAGAACAAAGATTGTGGATGTAGTCTCTACAAAAAGCACACCCACAAGTTCATGGATTCGATACTTGAGGCTTATGAAGCACAAACACCTCTCTGGAGGTGACTTACAGGTGTCCAACACGTGTGGGATATGAACTTGAACCGGACATGCTCTGGACAAGTGTCGGACATGCTAGGACACGTTGCAGACACACTGTAGACACATTGGGGACACGTTAAAGACACGCTGATGACCATTTTTTTCAAAAAAATTAAAAATTTAATTTTGTTTACTATAATAGCATACCTAAGGCCAAACCCATTTGATGGGACTTAATGCTTGGTTAGGTTTAATAGTATACCTAAGGTTAATAAATTTGATAAAATTAAATATTTGACATAAAATAAATATTAAATATTTAAAAATATGACACATAATAAATATATAAAATTATATATTTTGCAAGTATTCCCAACATTTTTTGAAAATTCGCATGTCCGTGTCGTTTGCGTGTCGATGTCGTGTCACATATCCGTACTTCTTAGCTTGAGGCACATGGATTTGGCTAGGGTTATGTTGTAAGCTGTAACTTGTATTTTGTTCTTGCCAAAGTGGATTGATTGGCTAGACTATGATCTCATGGGTTTTCCCATTTGGATTTTCCACATAAAAAAATCAAGAGTCTCTTTATGTGTTTTACTACTTTATTTTATGCTTGTGATTTATAATTGTAAGACTAATTAATTAAACTTGATTAATAGGCAAACCGATATATCCATACCTATCACAAATTTCATCACATAACTAGTCTATATATAATGCCAAAGAGATGGATATATATTATATATATATAAGGAATGTCCTCACCTTCCTGCTTGCCTTCGTTGTGCTCCATAATTTCAAGATAGACTTTGAGTGCACAGTTTTGCATTTCCAGCTCTTTTGTTTCTTGCTGCCATGCCCCGCAAATTCCAATATCAGATCATAAAATATTAATTTTAAAACCATATATATATATACACTTCAAATTAATGACCAATTAAGCAATAACATATATACATATATATTAAAATTTAAAACTTATAAATAGGGATATTAATTAATTGATTATGTACCTGAAGTTGGTTCAATTCAGCTCTCTTGGTCGATACAATCCTGTTCAACTTCCAAACTCTCTCCAAAAGGACTAACATATAGTTATCCCCCTCCTCCAACATATCGTCAAATGACCTGTTTAATTGCAAAAGTAGTTTTGACATAATTAATTAAAATACTACCTAACATGGGTGGATAAGCATTGTCCCACCCATAGAGTTTTCTGCTACATCATTTGTTGAGAGCATCAGGTGGATAATGCCACATGATACACCAGGACTATTACCCTCAATAATATAGAGCCAGTCCTTCCTATGTATCGAAAATGCACGTCATCTAGGAACATTATATATATAATATATATAACTTGTAACCCATTGAAGCCTATCTTAAATAGGTGTGTCATGACCAATGAGGCAAAAAAACATGCATGCTCAGAAGTATATATACATGTATTTTTATGTATGTAGATATCAATTAGAGATAGCTTTTACCATTTCTCCATGTTGATGTAATGTGCTGAAATTAGCACTGTTTCCAAACAGCCCACCTAACTCTTGTTAGGTTTATGATGTGTATTGTGCTAATTAGAGTTAGTTTATGTGGAAGACAACTAGTACAAGTGTTGTGTGATTATGTGGCTATTGTATAAAAATACATGTAAAAGAAGCTGAAAATGTGAATGAAAAAATCTGGCAGGTTGCTGCCCTGTTTGCCTCCTCTTCCCTGTTTTTTTCTGCAGAAAATTCAGATATTTTTTTGGTGTGTTTTAGTTTTGTTTTCTTCATGCACAAAGAAAACACAACCAAAATACCCAACACTCCAAGAAATAGACTAGAAATGTTATCTCAAGCTAGCATCCAAACACACGAGATCAATAGGATTTGAACAGAAAAATAATATCCAAAAAAAACTCTCAATGTTGGCATCATTGCTATTAAACTGTTTGATACAGTGTTTTGTAAATTGTGAATTATTTAGACACAAGGGTAAGTAAAGAGATACATTCACAGGCTAACCATTATTAGTTCTATATTTTTTTTAGATATGCAACCCTCCCTACTTGCAAAATATATGTCCCTGCACACAACTAAGTGCTATGAAGCACGGACACCTCTCTGGAGGTCACGTACAGGTGTCCAACACGTGTTAGACACATGTTGGACATGGACACAGACACGCGCTGGACACGGTTCGGACACGTTAGAAAGAGTTGGACATGCTTGAACACTTTGGACACGCTAATGACTAGTTTTTTTAATTTTTTACTAAAATAACATACTTAAAGTTGATAAAATTAAATATTTGACATAAAATACATATTAAATATTTAAAAATATAACATATAATAAATATATAAAATTATATGTTTTGCACGTTTCCCCAACGTATCGTGTCTTGCATGTTTTGAAAAATTACATGCCCGCGTATCTATGTCATGTCACATATCCGTGTCTGTGTCTGTGCTTCTTAGACTAAAGTGCCTATTTGTAACTAAATTAGTAGTACCAAAAACTTTCAAGTACTAAAACTTTAAGATTAAAGATAGATAACATTTTTTTTCTCTAAGATTTAAGGGTGTAATAACAATTCATTAATAGTATATTCAGTGATAAATCAAGTCTCTCTCATTCAAGATTGAGTCCTCTTCTTTAAGTAAATCTTCAGCTTTAAGTGGTAATTGCTTCTACATTATCAAACACGCTTAATAAAAGATCCACTTAAAATATTCAAATCAAACACTTAATAGAGTTACCAAACAAACCAAAACAAAGAATGTTTCCTGGTTTTCATTAATCTTTCATTTGTCCCTCTTTTCTCATGTATACCGTAGACCGTATTACATGTATACCGTATTACAATATTTAATGTCTTGACGAATCAATTAACAATTTTGAAGTATTTTGTATAGTAATAAGCAACTTTGTTAACACAGCTTTTTCATAACTTCATGATAAAATCGCTTACCTAGAAATAGAAAAAAGTTATGATAAATCATAATCGATAAACAAATTTCATTATCAAATGTACAAGTTCTATAACAAAAAGGATGAAACATTTAACACAACCATTGATATTTGTTTTCATAATATGTGTTTGATATTTTCTTTGCAATCTTAGTTCTATATCGCTTAGAAAAACTAATAAATGAGGATTTTGCATTGTGCATAGATAGATCTAATGCCATTTCTCATGCCTATACAAATCTCAACTCAAGATTGGAGAAATTTTTGTGGAAGTGTGGTTCCACTATCGGGATCTATCATGCATGATGATAGATCAATCAACAAATTGGGTACAAGTATTTTGGTAAGAGTAAACAAATCACAAATAATCATTGAAAAAAAAAATACACATATTAGTGAAATACAAAATTTATCGATATAGAATGAGCGAAAAAATGGGAGGAACTCACCTTTTCCTAGCCATCGCAAATGGTATAGCTGAAAGAAGGAACCCTAGGAAAGGTTTTTGGCAACCCTAAATGATTCCTATAATATTTCCTAATCCAACAGGAGAACATTCTTATACCCCTAAACATTTAGATGAAATTACCTATAAATCCCTAAGGCAACATCGGGTAAACCACTCTCATGCCACGTATAGTCAAAATGTTAATTGAACCTTATCAATGGTGACTAATAGTCAATTTTGTTGGAGGGATGATAAATAGGTCGACATTAAGAGCATCTCCAATCATTCATCAATTTTTTCATCAAATTTAAGTAAGAAAATTTGGACCAAAAACTTGATTATAGCTCACTCCGATGGTGAGAATCATTTTTTTTATTTATTTATTTTTAAATTGAGAAAACCTACCTTTACCACTACCTCCCTTTGCAACCAAATCACCACCACTCTCTACAGCACAACGATGCACTCTCTTTGTTCAGTCAATCAACACCATTTCAAACACAATCCAGCACAGTCAAGCCACTGTGGTTGGCCACGTACACCATGCGTGACCACTACGAGTGCCACCATGCCTAACAGGTGCTAGCCATCATGAACCACCACCACAACCAATCACCGCCACGTGGCTGCCGAGTTATCTGCTACACGGGAACATTAAAAGGCATTCAATTTGTACAATAAAACAGTTAGAGATTTGATAAATGGTTCAGTATTAACTCAATTTAATGAAAATTTTGAGTCTCCCTTGATTTGACATAGGTTTGTTGAAGGGGGTTGGAGATGCAAAATGGTTTTTAAATCAAATTTGAATTTGATGAAACAAGGGTTGAAGATTTGTCTTAGGAAGATAAAGCCATCAAAACAATTTAATTCTAAATCACTTCTTGAAAGGCAACATCGACAGAAAGCAACAAGACACCTCAACATGGGTCACTAGATGGTGATTGATTTCATATCAAATTCATGAAAATTAGACCATGAAACTAAAGCAAAATAAAAAAAAAAATACATGTCCATGACCAATATAGCTCAAGAGAAATACAAAGATTGAAATGAACAAACTGTAATGGTTACCTCCGTGAATAAGACTAGATATGGCCAGAAGATGATCATTCTCAAAGCAAACTTGTGTCCACCAAATCTTCAAAGAAGCAATTGAGAGGACAAAGAACACTATGCGATAAACCCTCTTATTCAAAACTACAAGATGAGATTAATCTCATCATCGGATTTTCACGGAATCAACCCCGAGATCTGATCAGAGCAACCATATGCGACATATGAATGAATAGCCCCGAGACACAATCTTCAGTGAAATAAGATACATGTTGCGACTTGCTCATATTGTGTTTGGAAAGAAAGAAACAAACCGAATGACAGTTGAAGAAAAAAGAACAACCAGATGTTCAGGATAAAAAAAAATAATAATTTTATTTTAATCAAACTGCTCGCTTGAACAAAAAATATTTTTCATATATTTTGGTGTTTGGTATAATATAAAATGAAAATTAATTAAAAATATTTTTTATGATCAACAGGAAATAAGTCTATATGAGGAGAAAATGTTTTCTACTTTTAATAGGTAAAACATGAATTAAATTTTTACTGATATCATTAACCTTCTATCACTATTCTCACCTCCATCGTCATCGCCATAGCCACCATCACCGTCGTTATCACTGTCGCCACCACCCTACCGCTATGCCACCACCTCCACTTTTGTTTCGCTGCCACCACCACCAAACATAAAAGAATGTTTTATAGAGAAAGTATTTTCCGTCCAAACAAACGGGTCTCTTATTTTTATAATCTTTCATATATATATTTTTCTCTTTTGAATTTGACTATTAATTTACTTTTAATGTTTTTTTATATTTTATTAAAATTTCTATTTACACACCACACTTTTTCACAGCTCATTTTATTATTTAGCCACACAATTTAATTTCTACTTCATTCACACCATTTTATTATCAAAATACTTTCACCAACCGTCAATTTTGAAACCCTAACTTCTCCGCGCTCATCGTGACTATCACCACAACCAACACTATCCCATTCTAACTCCCTCCCCTTCCCAATTGCCTCACTCACCTATACTCTTCATTTCTTGCCACCTCCTATTAAGCCCCAACCTTACAAAATGATGTAAATTTATAAAAATAATACTGTGTAAATAAATTTTTTTATTTTTTATTACAACCACAAGGACAAATGCAAAATCAACAAGTAAAACTAAAATCACTTAAAAAATCAAGGTGAAGATGTTCCAATAATACACATTTCCAACTGAAGATCAACTTGTTCTTTTAATGATGTTATTGATCACACTGGAAACCATATTTTTATAATCAGTGGCGCTACATACACCAATTAGTGTACCAACACTAATTATGACATTATTATTGACTCCACTCATTAATCACATTACTAATATCAAAAACCTCTTAAATACACTAATTAGTAGACTAATTAGTATATATAACATTATTCTTTTACGATAAATCCACTGCAAAAAGACAAACACCTATGAGAATTTTAGTTCTTCTACTTCTTCCCCTGCAATTCACAAATTCCAATAGTACTTTGACATTTGAAATAGCTTTTGCAAATGGCTCTCCGGTAACAAGACCGGGCAAACAGATAATGTCAATCTCACCCCATGCAGTAAGCATCCCCATTCAACATAAAAAAGGCCTAGGGCTTTGGGAGATCTTTTTTGCACAAAATAATATTTTTGGTATGGTTTTCATTTTATAGAAAACATAGAAAACTTGTTTAGTGAATTATTTTTTAAAACTATTTCAAAAAATTCTTCTAAAAAGTACCCACTTTGAGCAAACACCAAAAAAATGTTCTTGCACAAAAATGTAAATGATATGAAAAAATAGGTATTCGTAAAATTTCATAGTTTTTATTTTCAAAAACGAAATAACAATGACAACGAATACAATACCAAACAGGCTTGTCATTCCAAATCCCCAACTTCTGCTGTAACCATCCAGGTGTGAGACCTAGAAGAGATGGTGCTTCCAATTGAAGTATTTCCAACTCGAAATTAAACTAGACCTAACTAACTCCAAAGTATGAAAGCTGCAACAAGTTAAAACAAACTCAATTTTCCATTGATTTGTAATGTAAAGGCTAAAATGGACCTTGTCCAATGAGGAAACAATACACAAAGTTCTTTAGAAGCCGCATACAATGCCAGGAAATACTTCTACAACTTCAGTTACAACAAGAAATTTTACAACATTTGAAAATAACCGTTATTTTCAAAGAACAGATTAAAGCACGATTAATTGGAGCAGTGTGGAACTCATGCGAAACAGAGACGCAGAAGATTCCATCAGAGTTCATCCTGCAACGCCACAAATAGAAAATATCACCGAACTGAATGAAAATTCAACAATGTCATGAACAAAACAAATAAAAGAATACTGAAGTAACTTGTAAATTTTTGTAAATAATTTGGGAAATTGTCACATGAATATTGCCCTTGATGTGGGTCCACTACACGCTAAGAGCATAAGATATTTAAAAGCATAAATGATTTTTTTTTTTGGGCATAATTCTTGGAAATAATTTTAAAACTTGTCACATGATTAATGTCACTGATTATCCTAAGAAAGATTCGGAAGTAAAGCAGACATTCATGCTTACATGATAATCATCCATGTAGTCGCGACGACGATCATGCTGCAAAAATAAACTTAAACTTGTTAGAAATTACATTCCTGTATATCATTTTGTACTAACCGTATGCAGATTGCATATAAATACTTAGCTCACTAGAAATATCCAAATAGACAGTAACTTTTGATCATGAGAAATGCATACCCTTCTATATCTGTCTCTGTAACGCTCCCTATCTCGATATCTTCGATCATAGCCCCTCTCCTTTCTCCTCCTTTCACCTTCCTCTCTCGCTCTTTGAGCTTCCTGCATACACACAAGGGCTCAACTGACTCAGCAAACCTTTATGTAAGATAAGTTCCCTTTGTTTTGACTGAAAACATTTTCCAACAGAAAACGTTTTCAGAAATGCTTTCCTATGTTTGATTGTCTCCTTGAAGCTAATGTATTAATGATTGATTTAATGGTGGTGGTGGAGGCAGTGGTGGTGGCAGTGTGGTTGTATTGGTGGGACTTTAGTTCAGAGAATGTTTTCCACCTTTTAAAAGTGGATAACTTTTTTTGACCAATTAAGCTTGTTTTCCGTTGACTTTCGTTTAAAGTTGTACCAAATGCCAGAAAATATGAAATATATTTTTCAAAAAATGTTTTCCACCCAACAAACAAAGCAAAACTGTAATGAGTGGTAAGTCTAGCAAATAACCTCTTCCTCCTTTGCTTTTCTCACTTTCTCTGCTTCTTCGAAGGCTTCCTTTTCAGCCTGAATTTTCAAAGAAAGAAAATCAAAATTACGCAATGCTATTAAGCATGGAACCCCCTGTACAAATAAAGAGCGGGAACACACCTCTCTATTAGCAAATACTTCCTCCACAACTTGTTTTGCATATGCTGGATCATCACAAATTAAAACGTTGTCGTAAACTGAACCACCCTTCACCTGCATTTCACCACATAATTAGACTCAGCAATCTCAAGTGAACAATTGTGTTCACGGCATAAAGATCATGGTATTAGCAATGTCGGCAGATTGATACTCCCATCTCACCTGCCAAACTTCAATGCCCACATATTGAATTGGCTTCAGAACATAAAGGTCTGGGTCATCTTCAAATTCTGTGGGGGCAAGAAAGGTACACAAACAAATTTATGTGCATCTTAATACAGCAATGTCTGTGTCATGTGTGTACCTGTGTGTCCCTACCTGTGTGTCCCTATATGTGTGTGCATGTAAGCATGTCATCTAGGTGGATAATAAGTATGATCAAATGCATGGAATACCTGGGTTATCAATCCAAGGAATCTTCCATTTGCCCTTATAGTTGGGATTCTTTATTTTCTGTTGTTTCAAAAAGCAAGTACTGATCAGAAATGCCAGAAAATAATTAAACTTGAAGACTTTTCTGGCAGTCATTAAAAATGTTTTCGCATACCTTGCGCTTCCATGGTCCCTTATATGCTGGATTTGGAACCTTTGGTGGTTTCCATATCCCATCCTCGTCTTCATCCCAGTTATCAGGCTAATGAAAGGGTAAAAGTAGATGGCATATAAGCTTCTTTTCTTCCCATTTTTTATGTGCATCAAATAAAGAAGAAACAGAAGAAAATATGTAACTCTTCCTTCTAAATTCAATGCAGATTAGAGAGGAACAAGAATAACTCATGAAAATAAAACTAAAATAAGGAAATATTTTTGGAAATAAAGTGCTAACTCAAACAATGTAATGGTCACACACCATACACTAAAATGAATTTGCAGCCAGACCACTATCAACCAGCCAGGCAGCAACCAATTACATGTCTTCGTTTAAAACTCATATACCACACACGTGAAATAACTAACCTTCTTGGCTTTTGGGTCAGGAATTTCAGCTGGGATTGAATCATATCCCTGACAAATCAAACAAATACGTGATGGAACACAAAATGCAAAAAGACGAAAAACAAAAATTAGCTTTAATAAAAGAAATAAAATAGAAACAATGATACCTCAGGTTTGACAGCATTAGGATCATCAATATATTCTCTATCTTCCCAGTCTGCAGGCTGTGACATAGCAAGTGAATGCTTTAGTCGAGCAAGTACATAGACAAGTGACAATACTCAAGTATTTGTAATAGATGATTTCACGGATGCAATTCTAGGCAAGTACAAAAGCTCAATAAATCAATCATGTTATAGATTGCTATCAACATTTGAAGTTCAGGATGAAACCTTTTTCGCATTGATGTCCTTAATTTTTCGAGGAGGAAGGATATCCCAGTCTGTATACATGCTTCCAGAATCTCTTTCTCTATTGTCAATCAAGATGCTATAAGTTGCATCAGGTCTCAGAATAAATGTGTAAAAGTGTGTTAATTTATCTGTCTCACATTCAAGATCTTTCTTGACAGGGTAATTCTGGCCCTGGTAGGACAGTATTACATGTAGCTTCTTAGTCTGTGTGCCACATAGATCTGGTCCAAACATTAAACTGGACAGAATAAAATTTGACAGCCAATGAGATTTTCTTTCCATGAAAGTAAACAAGTAAATAAATGAAATGGTTGAGAAATGAATTAAAAAAATAAAATAAGAGAAGTTAAACACCCACACCCACAATGCACCATCATAGACAACATACATTTGTGATACATTGGGCTCATTCCAATCAGCTAAAGCTTTTGGGAGAATTGATAACCTAACAAGCATATATTTTAAGACCCTAATCGCCAATTTCCTCTTTGATGGACAATATGGAACAAAGTTACATCATCCAGCTGTGTGAGTAAACTGAGAGTTGACTTAACCTATTAGAGGCATATGACATGAGAAGCAAAAACCTACTAAAGGGTTCCAGATCACTAGTACGCAAAAAATTCCCTCATCTTCCTAAACAAGATAATATGGATCAAATATTTTTTGTCTCTCAGAATTGCTTTACTAGATGCCATAGACTGAAAGACATACAATGATATAAAATTTGAATTACATGAAATACTCATAAAAGAGGGGGGAAAACTCACCTATAAGGAGTGTCCCCTCCGAACTTCTTCTGATTTACAAATCCAGAGAGAAGTTTTATGTAACCGCCGCCGCATTCAATGTCCTGCTCAAACTTTATAGAATATTGGAGAACCAATGTCCTATCTTTATTGGTGAACTCGGGGATTTTTGCTGATATGGCAAAGTGCTTTGCATCCGCAGATGTTTGAATACCTACAAAATTAGAGTCATCATTTAGAAACTGCTATTTTGAGGCTCTTCAGCCTACTAATATAGATGAATGAAATTCAACTGTCCAAAAAAAAATGCAAAATAACAAAAACGGATAATTGGACCAATATGGAAACCACTCACTTAATTGGAGCAATAAGATAGTGTAAGCATACACACACACATATATATATATACACACAAAATATAAGCATTATAGTTAAGACACAAATAATTACTTGGAATTCAAATAAAAGCCAGTGCAAATGAAACTCGGGGGATCATTACCCTTGTCATCTGGATCTCCAGACCATTTTCCAGCTGTGTGCTTAAATGAACCTGCTTTTCCCTCACTTTTTTTCCAGTCTGATCTAACCCACCTGCTTTGCCATCCATCTTTTTCCAGACAAACGGACGTACAGTTAAAACGAAGAATCCACATCCCAATCCAAAGAAAATTCACATAAGTGGTGAAATAACAAATATTAGCTATAAAAAAAAAGCCATAAAAAATAATTAATTCATTTCAGAGCCCAGTTTTCTAAACAGAAATAATCTTAATTCTGAGAGAAGGTGTAGCTTAGTCATTAACCTCAATGTCCATTTCATACTGTAGCTTGGCCAGTTTCTCCTATTTATCATGTTTCACCAATTGATCTCAGAGTATTGACCGGTCAAAAAAATTTCTCGAAATATATATATATATATTTTTTGGACATAGGAAGGAATTCAAAAATAAAAACTAGGAGTAAATAACAATTTGATCCTACCCAAAGAAGAAACAAAGCATTTCACATGGAATATTGTGTTTTTTTTTTTTTTTTGCCCTTTTCTTTCACAGAGGTCAATTTTACCATTCCCCAGTTTGGTTCCAGAGAAAGCTCAGAAAAATCTAGGGGCGAAAGAAAACAAATTGAACACTCAAATGTTCCACTCTACTCTTCAGTTTTTAGAAAGAAAAAAAAAAATAGATGTGTGATCTCTGGGTTTTCAAGAAACACAGAAAGCAAATAACAATGGCTCGGGTTTCCCTTTTTCTTTTGCTTTGAGGGAAACCAGACAGTCGCTGAAGATTGAAAACCAGGACAAGAATCAATAAACTAAAAAAAGGCAAAGGGTACTAAACTAAACAGATTCTTCTACCCTCAACCTCAATAGTTCCAAAGAGAAAGCTGATTTACAATTGTGGGTTTTTGAGCAACATAGAAAGAAAATAATAACAGGTTCAGATTGAACGAATCAAATGAGTAAAAAGGGTAATAAACAGATTGAACACTCCAATCCAATCCAATCCAATCTTCTACTATTTCTAGTTAGTTCCTAGGAATAATTTAATTACGAATCTCTCTAGCGTTTTGAGCAAAACAGAAAGTAAACAATAATGATAAGGGGTTCAGTTCAGGCTTATGATTTGATTTCCTTTCTGGGTCACCAAACAGAGAAAAGATAGAAGGAATCAAACAAGGCACAAGGGTGAGAAAACAATATTGCAATTATTACCTTCGAAACGCTCTTCAAAAATGATTTCGGAGAGAGTAGAGTGAAAGAGGAGAGAGAGTTGGAGAGTGGGGAGTAGAAGAAGAAGAAGCAACGGCACAGATCGGCCGAGAGAAGCCGCCATCTTGCGGAAGCAAAACAGCTTCACTGTGTTGTGTTGTGTGTCGTCGTTTGGAGCGTTTGGCTTTAGTTATTATAGGAAGTTAAACAACCAAAGGCCCTTTCTTGTCTGCTTAATTACAGTAGTATCCTCTATTATGGTTTTTCTGACTTTTACTTTTTTGTCCAATGAGAAACCATTTGGACGTTTCACTGCCCAATAGCATTGTTCCTACAACATTCCGTGGGGCCACTTAAGTCATTTTACTCCACTACCATTTTAAAAATTGGACGCCTGAGACCTTCTTTTTTCTTTTTTTCTTTTTTTTTAATCAAAGCCGGTTGTTTTAAATTCAATTAATTTTATATAGATTTAATTTTTTTTTAAGAAATAAATTTAAAATTACTTGAATTATGCAAAAAGAAAAAGAATATGCATTATATTTGGCAACTTGGTTTTTAGTTTTTTTTTTTTTGATTTTTTTCAATACAAGACAAATATTTTACAAAATCAAAAAAAAATCAATCTAAACAAAATATTACATCAAATTTCATAATCATTTCACTTTTTCTCTCACAAACATCACATCCAACCACAAAAAAACCCAACTATCTTTCCAAACACAAAAAAAAAATTCTCTAATAATATCCTACAACTAAAAAAACTTACAAAAAAATTCACTTCCCAAACACTCACATATTTGGAAAGGGCTCGGTTGGGGTTGAATATTCAATTTCAACTTCTAAGAGCGTCCGCATCAACACAACTAAAATAATAAAAATGTAAAATATAGCTAATAAATCATAAAATTATTCCTCTATTAGGCTCAACAAATTTTTTGTAAATTAACTTTTTGTTAAATTTACTACAGTACCTCAACAACTTTGTTGAGGCACTATTCATTAGTTACATGATTTTTTATTATATTTTCTGGAGAAAAATTGGGCCAAAATCTTTAAACCAGTTGTCCACCCGGACGTCCCGTGAGTGCCTGTAGCAGAAGAAGAAAAATGTCAAAAATTAGCCTAATCGGTCGACTGGGTGGTCGACCGGTCATAGGCATTTTTATTTTATTTTATTTTTACATTTTTTAAGAATTGTTTAGTGACACTTCATCAATTTAATAAAAAAGAAATAATAACAAATACAAAAGAAATTAATATTTTAATAAGATTGAATTAAAATAGAGAGTATGATACAATAAATATTAAAAAAGTAACCCAGGGGTGGGTTGTGGTAAGAACATGGGGATTTAGCCCCAAGGTCATGAGTTCAAATCTCTCCTGGGCCAATCTCTTAGGCGTAGCACAGTTGGTTAGGAAGTTGGATCTCAAGTTGTCTAACAAGTACTTGGTGTGGGTTCAATGCTCCCCCGATATGCGAGTCTTGATTTAAGCGGAGCTTGTCTTGGAAGGTTAGGGCAAGTTTTCCGGTTATAGTCTCTTCGCTCGGAACGACTAACAGAACACCTTGGTGAACTCTACAAAGGGGCGCTGCCTTGGACCTGTGAAAAAATAGGAAGAATTTTCCTACAACAAAAAAAAATAAATAAAAAAATAACTAGTTAAAAGGGCCCCCAGAAACCTTTTTTTTTTTTTTTTTTTTTTTTTTTTTTTTATTATTATTATCAAAGCCGGTTGTTTTAAATTCAATTAATTTTAGATAGATTTAATTTTTCTTTAAGAAATAAATTTAAAATTACTTGAATTATGCAAAAAGAAAAAGAATATGCATTATATTTGGCAACTTGGTTTTTAGTTTTTTTTTTTGATTTTTTTCACTACAAGACAAATGTTTTACAAAATCAAAAAAATCAATCCAAACAAAATATCATATCAAATCCTGTAATCATTTCACTTTTTCTCTCACAAATATCACATCCAACCACAAAAAAATCCAACTATCTTCCCAAACACAAAAAAAAATTTCTCCAATAATATCCTACAACTAAAAAAAACTTACAAAAAAATCCACTTCCTAAACACCCACATATTTGGAAAGGGCTCGGTTGGGGTTGAATATTCAATTTCAACTTCTAAGAGCGTCCGCATCAGCACAACTAAAATAATAAAAAGATGAAATATAGCTAATAAATCATAAAATTATTCCTCTATTAGGCTCAACAAATTTTTTGTAAATTAACTCTTTGTTAAATTTACTACAGTACTTGTTGAGGCACTATTTATTAGTTACATGATTTTTTATTAAATTTTCTGGAGAAAAATTGGGCCAAAATCTTTAAACCAGCAGTCCACCCGGACGTCCCGTGAGTGCCTGTAGCAGAAGAAGAAAAAATGTCAAAAATTAGTCTAACCGGTTGACGCGGTCAACCGGTCAACGGCAAATTTTATTTTATTTTTTGTATTTGTTAAGAATTGTTTGGATGACACCTCATCAATTTAATAAAAAAATAAAGAATAACAAATACAATAAGAAATTAATATTTTAATAAGATTAAGTTAGATAGAGAGTAGAGAGTTAGATGCAGTGACTACTAAAAAAGTGACTAGCTAAAATAACAAAAGTGGATTTTGAATTATAATTTGACTCAAAATTTGCTAAGGCTGATGCAGATGCTCTAACTAACTAGGCAATCCTTGAATACTATAATCGAATTACAGATTTCAAATTTAAATTGTTTTTAAATTTTAAATTTAAAAACATATTTATTAAAAATAAAATATAATATAAAAAATATTAAAATAAATATATTTATTTATTTAAAAAATAATCCTCCATAATTTTTTTTTTTTATTAATTTAAGATCCAAACCAAAGGACATTTGATTTGCACGCTTATTTATTTTAGTGTCAATCTTTTTTTTTTCTTTTTTCTTTTATATTTTTTTAAATCAAGAACTTGGCTGAGGGAGTGTTTGATAATATGATTCAGGATTTAAAACTAAATTAATTAAGTCTTCATTTGGTATTAGATTTTTTTTATTGATTTTTTTGTGTTGAGATTTTTTTAGCCTCATTTGATTTGGCTTTTTTTAGCTTTTTTGACTTTTGTAAGTGAAAAAGTGTAATGATTATGATTTAGATGTAAAATTTTATCTTATTGGTTTATATAGCCACTTTTGTCTTTTTGTACTTTTTTAGCTAAAAATCTAAAACCAAACGAAGCTTAAATGATAATCAATTAAATCCTTTTGATAACCATAATTGATATTACTTAAAAATTTAAATACTTCTTAAAATATAAGTTAAAACTTGAGAAAATTTTAAATCATATAAAACTTACTTAATTCTGACTGAATTTATAAATATTAAACATAAATATCAATATACACTATTATGAACTCACTACCACCACCGTTACCACTACCGCCACCGCCACTGCCACCATCATGTCACCACCACTACTACCCCTACCACCACCATCACTACTACTATTAGTACTACCACCACTTTGTCACCACCATCACCACCACCACCACCACCATTATGTCGGTGTCACCACCGTCGTCACCACTACTGTCATCACCTTCATCACCATTGTCATTATTGTCATGAACATCACCATCATTTTACTACTACTATCATTGCTATCACCACTACCACTACCACCACCACCACCACTATCACTACCACCACCACCACCACAATATAAAATTAAAATATATAATTTAAAAATAATAAATTTTAAATTTTATTTTACGCATATCAAACAATTTATTTTTAATTTAGCACTTAAATTTTTATCAAATAACTTTTCAACTTACAAAATTCAACATTCAATTTTCAATTTTCAATTTTCAGCTCTGTTAAACACCACCCTAGAGAGTAGAGGAATTGAACCTTTTAGATTAGAAAATTCTGGCTCCTCCATCTTAAAACAAACAACAAAACTATAAATTCAAACTTATGAATTTAAAATTTACCCAAAAAAATGAATCAATTTTTCAAATTTATTTTACTCATAAACCCCACACTTTATCAATTTAATCTCCATCATATAAACACATTTAGAATAAATTATGAATTGATAAAAGTAAATTTATAGCATTTTTGTAAAACAAATATTAGCCATGTCATGCCATGCCACATGCCATGGCCCCGTCATGCATGGTAGATTGGAATCCATTTTCTAGTTGCTACACCTAAAAGCAGCCTCCTCCTCCTCCTCCTCTACACATCAAACAAAGTATACAGATCTTTTTTGCAAACTAGTAATGTGATTAAGGCCTCGTTTGAGAACAGGCTAATTTAGTAACTTTTTAACTATTTAGCTAAAATATAAACTAAAAAAAACTAATATGTTTGGGATAACTTTTTGACTTTTTACGAGAAAAAAAAATCTTTGACTTTTTGATATGGGTTGTTGACTTTTTGACTATTTTAGTAACTTTTTGACTTTTTGGCTAAACTGGTCCTTCCCAAACGGGGCTAAATTGCAATTTTTTAAAATAAAAGCATCCATTTAGGATTGACTTTGAATTTCAAAAATAATACGTCCTTCTAAATAAAATTTATATAATATATTAAACATGAACCAACACCCACGCAGGAGGCAACGCATTGGTGGTAATTTTGGTGGGATGGCAAGGGCAATGTCTTCCATGAATACATGTGAAGACTTGGGCTGAGAAGACTTGGGCTGGGAAGGTCTCTGTTTTATATTGACCATAACTTTCAAATGACTTTTTCAAAGTCTTCCCTCAGTCTTCTCCCCAACAGATGAAGGTGAAGAGGAAGGAGAAAGGAAAAGAGGAAAGGGAAAAGAAAATGGGTACCAGATTGTCATAGGTGCCACATCCCAGTTATCCATCTACATTTAATATTACTACTACAGTGAAAGGCAGTCCAAAGGGTGACTTCAAATTTTTGAATGGTTAGTTTGAAAGATAGGAATTTTGAAACAAAATTGAAATTTTGATTCATCAGTCCTATAATGTCACAATATTTAAAAATTCCTTATCAAATCAAATACTTATACTCAATACACTCATTTTTATGTTATTCTAATATACATTACTCTTTTCTTTCTTTCTTTCTTTCTTTCTTTTTCTTTCTTTTTTAATTATTGTCTCTAAACAATTTGCAGCATTTCCCTACTCCCTCTCAAATCAAATTATGAATTATAATGCCATTTAATTTTCGAAATTTGTGATTGCCACTATGATATGGACGGTGTTCAATCCCATTTTAGGCAATTAATCTCAACAGCAAAAACAGGTCATAACTCAGCAAGTGATCGGGCTTCCCTTCATCAAGTTTCAATTTCAGGCAGAAACTAAGGAATCATCTAGTTGCTTGATAGTACAAATGTTGTTATTTTAGACATACATGCATGCATGCATGCACTACGCAATATTTCCACACACCGTTCAATTTAAGAGATCCTTAATTTTTACCCAAAAAGAAAAGGAAAAAAAAAATGTTTCAGCAACCAACACTGGCTGCAAATAAAACATAGCTCATTAAACTCTAGCAGCATCCATCATATGGACTCTGCAGTTATGCAAGAAGTAGCAATGAGGTCCACCAATGCCCTAAATACATGCCAAACTAGAATTCCACCAAAGAGAGAGAGAGTTGATATCAAAAGGAGCAAAAAGAGATTGTCTCACAGGAAGAGGAGAGAAAATAATGTGGTGACAGCTTTATTCTTTTTCCCCTTATTTTGCCTGAGGATGAGATGCAATGAAGTCAACAGCAAGGTTGATGGAGCTGATCTTGTCTGCTTCATTATCTGGAATCTCAAAACCAAACTCTTCTTCAAATGCCATCACGATCTCTACCGTGTCTAAACTATCCAACCCCAGATCATTCTGGAAATGGGCATTTGGTGTAACCTGCAAAACCAGGTGACAACACAGTTTCCAATAAAATGAGGACAACATATAAAAAACAAGGGTAAATTACATTGACACCCCTTGAGGTTTGGTCCAATTACTACCCACTCCCTGACGTTTTGAAAATTACATTCCCACCCCTATGGTTAATAGTTTCATTTCACAACCCCCAGGCTTATATAAAAGGTAACAACTCCTAGTAGAAAAACAGAGGAAATTACATTTAAAAAAAAAGTAAAGGAAAGGCGAAAAAAAGAGAAAATAAAGCAAAGCAAAAAAAGAGAGAGTGCATGAGTTCAATGTCTTCATTCTGTCTAAATAATTACAATGATAGAGGGGTTAGTGTAATTTCCCAAACGTGAAGGGGTGATATGTATTAAACCCAAATCTCAGGGAGTGTAAGTGTAATTTACCCAAAAAACAATTTCTCCCCCTTCAAACTAAATATCCATATCTGTGTGTGTACATTTTGTTGTTTTAAAATCATTTAATTTTAAAGAGCATTAATTCCTTTTAAGCTAAAACTCACTACAATCAATTGGGTCATGCAACAGTGGCTGATGGATCTCTACAAGATAGAATTTGTAAAATTTGAAACTAGAACTTATTAGAATGTGGAGAATCCTCTCCAATTGAACAACTAAAATCTTCATATCCATGTTTTCATCCAAAGAGGTTAGCTAGTACCACAATCATTGATGTCATTGTAGAAATACACTGATCAGCAGAATCAGACCTTGGAATCAGACCTTGTGGAACACCACATAGGAAGCTGTGTAGACCCTTTAGAAAGACTTGTGACGACAAATACCAGGCAGAAAGGGTCATTCATAACTTTCTACGAGGAAAAAGTAAGAAATCTATATACTTTTGAAAATACCCCACTGATAAAAGAAACTAAAATAAAAAAGCTGAAGAAAGAAATTGCAAATTGGACAACTTAACAAAAAAAGAGGAGCAACTCCATCGAGCGAATTTTTTTTGTCACTAATTCAAGCTCAAAAACAGTTTTTAGCATCACTAGCTGAGATGGAATGGTGCAACAAAACAACCAAAAACCTCTTCTTTGAACATATACAGCAAGCACTCAAAATTAGTAGTGAAAGTAAGTCACTAAAAAAGAGTTTAAATCACTAGGTCTCGTTTGGCAACACACTATTTTAGCCTAAAAGTCAAAAAGTCACTAAAAAACTAAAAAATCAACAACCTATACCAAAAATTCAAATATTTCATTTTCTCTCTACTTTTTGCACATCTTTTCGTAAAAAATCAAAAGTCATTCCAAACCTACTAATTTTTTTTTACCTCATATTTTAACCAAAAAATCAAAAAATTACTAAAATAGTTTGTTCCCAAACGAGGCCTAATGATGGCAAATCACAACAGAAAAATCTAACAGACGGAAAAATACTATATACATACGTCAATTGGAAGAAGCACTTGACTATTAAAGTTCTGAAACATAGCCAATGCTCATTACTGAATGCAAACATTGATATAGTATCATGATTTAAGCACCATGGTTGCTTTCCATTTTCTTGCTTAGGAAGATTTCCCTTCTTCCATTATATGCTCCATGCTAGCTATAAATTTTCTTGTAAATAGAAACAAAAATAAAAAATGCTTGCATGTTTTCTCTTGCATGAAATAGATCACCAACATCTTTGAACTTGTCATAAAAAATTCTCTAAGTTCTTTCCATCCAAATAACCAAACCTCTATAATCAACAACAAACACAAGGATGCATAAGGTCAGAACTACCCAATCAATTCCCACCAACTATATCATAATCCCATGGCCTCTAGACAATGAAGGAATAAATGGTCAATACTTTTTGACTCTCTTCTACACATTATGCACTATCGAGAAGGCAAGTGGCAATCACTTTTTTGAATTATGTCATTAGTATTGAGCTTTACATAAGCCAAAGACCAAGAAAAGATCTTAACCTTAAGAGGCCCATGTGCTTCCAAAAACAACTTATGAGGGAAAAAAAGATAATGTTATTATCAATAATCTTCTCAAAACAAGACTTGCACAAAAACAAACCCAAATAATGAATGGACTACTTTCTTTTTTTATCAAAGGAACCATAAACCAAGAAGACCCCCCCATCAAGAATGATTAATAAAGAAGATAATTCATTGGTCCCACCAAGGTTCTGAAAATCGATTGCGGTCACTGTAACGGTGGCGGTGGCGCGGTTGTAGTTGTAGGGTGTAAAGGCCGTAGCGTAATGGTTGGAGTAACCGGAATCGTGAATTTTTTTATTTTTCGCACAATTTGAAAAAAACTTACCGATACGCATATTTTTTTTTTTTCATAATCATATTTATTGGGTTTTAAAATAAATATTGATCAATTTTTGTAAATTTCTAAGTATGATCCAATATATTCATATTTTCAAATCACTATAAATTGAGTTTTTTACATTTTATTTTAACAATTAATGACTTCATATATCATAAATTCATATTATGCTTGTGGTAAAAAGAAAAAATTTATTGGACTTAGATGTGTAAAATTATTTTTTTAATTATTATACTTGTGGAAGCATATACAAATTTTAACTTGAATAGTTTTTAAAAAATAAATTAAACATGCTAATGTAATCATATAAAAATTAAATAAACTAATCAAAAAAAATTGACATGTATAAAATATGTATTAATATATAATTATAGGTGTAATGTTTTCTAGATATTTTACAAAAAAATCAATCACTAACTATTATATATAACATAGAATAAATAAGAGCCTAAATATCTATATATATATATATATTTTTTAATTAAGCTAAATAGATAATAACCACACTTATTATTATTATTTTCAAATAATATATATAAATAGACACACACAAACAAAACAGTTGAGTGATAGCAACTGAATAGAATAACATAGGTCTTACAATTTCAACAAATCAATAATATATTCTTCATCTTCCCTCTTCTCTCTCTATCTCTTGCTCCTCAATCTTCCCTCTTCTCTCTCTATCCCTCTTCCCTCATTTAAATAGATAATAACCACACTTATTATTATTATTTTTAAACAATATATATAAACAGACACACACAAACAAAATAGTTGAGTGATAGCAAATGAATAGAATAACATAGGTCTTACAATTTTAACAAATCAATAATATGTTCTTCATCTTCCCTCTTCTCTCTCTATCTCTTGCTCCTCAATCTTCCCTCTTCTCTCTCTATCCCTCTTCCCTCATTTTCACCTTTTTTTTGTGTGTGTGTTTTTGAAAGAAGTAGCTCGGAACCATTATGTAACAGTGCGTAACAAGCTGTTACGGCACCATTATGACCGCTACAGTAGCCGCTACGGCCGACACACTGTGAATCTCAATCACACTGTAAAAGTGGCCGTAACGGGTGGCGGTAACCACTACAACCGTGCGTTACGTAACGGTTGCGACCACTTTTTAAAACTTTGGGTATCATAAAAAACAGCCCTCAACCTTTTAAACAACACCTTCGCCAAAATTTTATAAAATGATGTAACCAAATTAATTGGCCTAAAGTCTCTGATCTTCAAAGAGTTCTATTTAAAACAAATAAAAGTAGCATTAACTCAAGCATTCACAACACCATATTATCAAAGAATTTAACAAATCGCTTTCAACCACATCAAACAACCGTAGTGAATCCATTAAGACCTGATAATTATCCCTATCACGCTCAAAGGCTGATGCCATTGCCTCCCTTATTTCCTTCTCATCAAATGGCCTTTCCAACCAATCATTAATTGGAGAAAAATCCAAACCCTCAATCCATGTCCTGATCACTCCACCCAACATCATTTTCTAGTCTCTTGATGAACTTTTTTCTTCATTTTTTTTTTCCCATTTATGAAAAAAATTTGAATTGTTAACCCCTGGGAGCAGAACCCCTACACATCATTTAGGAGGTCAGGTGTTTGAACCTCCCCATACCAATGTATTTGTTTGGGGATTTCTCTCTCCAACTTCTTCAAGAGTTTCTTTGTATTAATTATTTGTTATGTGCTGTATTTGATATTCATTACCATTGTAATTTGTTGAGCTTCATTGTAATATCATACATCAATCAAACAATGGGGTTTGGGGTTGGGAATAAACGAAAAGCAACAAAACCCTAGTATTGTGCTCAGAAATACAAAAAAAAAAAGCAAAAAAATGGGATTTGGGGTTGGGAAATGTTACCTTAGAAGGATCAACCTTCTGGAAGTTCTTGACGACGGAGATGACTCGATCAGCCACCTCCGATTTGTCGAGGAAAGAGCCCCTCACCTCCTCCGAGAAATGGCGTCGCACCAGATTACTCAATGACAGAGACAATGGGCTAAAATTAGGGTTTTGAGGTACAGACCAAACGTGAACTCTCAGGTATTTGAGAAGTGCGTTTCGCGCCGCCATTAAAGAAGATGAAGCTCCTGCTGTTTTGTTTTTGTTCCACAGTAGCGAGAGAGAGAGAGAGAGAGAGAGTGAGGTTTCGAGAACTTCGTGAGCAACAGGGTTTGGGTTTAATATAGCAGTATGGAATATGGACTACTGCCAAGGCACTTTTGACAGATTCTAGTAAACGTACAACTCTTGTTATGGTTCAAATAGCTGTACTTTAATTGGTATAAGCTAAATCTTCCTTGGATATTTGGAAAGGCTGAACCTGTGGATCTGTACTGAACTTATCAACAATTTACACTTAGCTCCTCTTTTAAGTTTTTTTTGTCAATTACGCGAACCTTCCCTGAATTGTGACTCTTCTCTATCTTTTAAGTTTTGAATAAATTATTTCTTAATTACTATAAAGTTCTATTAAAAACAAATTTGAGTAAAATTGTTACTAAAAATAATTTTTTATGATAAGTGTTTTTTATATATGTCGTTAAAAATTGATAATTAATCACTCTTTTTGTCACAATTTTTATAAATTGTCGCTAAAACTTATAATTAGTGACATTTTTGTGACGAATTTTTTACACTATTGTTAAAAATTGAATCTTAGTGACTTTTTATAATGATTTTTTTAAATTGTCACTAAAACTTATAATTAGTAATATTTTTTATGACAAAATTTTTAAATTGACACTGAAAATTAATGATTAGTGACTTTTTTAATAGTGTTTGATAAAAAAATACTATTCAGTGTGTTTGGTTTGAGTTTTCTGAATTAAATTATTTGAAAATTGGGTTTTACATTTTTGTGTTCTTTTTTATATATTTTTAGTGAATATTTTTAAAATTTTAAGTATTTTTTTTACTTTTTTTAGATGTATCTTACTTTGATATATCTAAAAAGTAAAATATTTGTGAAAAAATATTTTAAAAAATTAATAAATACACAAAAATATGAAAAATATACTAAATTTTCGTAATTTTTTTTTTATATTTTTGGTATTTAATGAATTTTTTAAAGATTTTTTTCGCAAAAATTATATTTTTTAAGTGTATTTATGTAAGATGTGTCTAAAAATTAAAAAAAAATTACTTAAAATATTAAAAAAATAGGAAAAAAAATTACGAAAAATAAGAGAGTAGAATTTTATGAAAAGTATTTTTAGAAAACTCAAACCAAACAAAGTGATTAATTCTCATAAGTTTGAATTAAACAATAAATTCACATATTATGACTTTCTCTAACTTTTTCATGCAATCCCCGAGCAATCCCATATTTATTAGCCATGTTTGGGAAGTTGAATTTGAGCTAAAATAGTCAATAAATTCAAAATATATTAAAATAATTAATAAAATAAAATATCATATTTGACAACAAGTAGGGTCTTAACAAATTTTTTTTCCCCTCACAATCATCAAATTAATTACAAAAAAAAAAAAAAACTATCTTTTCAAACATAATTTTTTTAACTAGACTTAAATAATTAAAAGTCAACTAAAATAAATTGTTTCCAAACAAAATCATTATGTAATTACTCGATGAGCGTTTGGATTTACTAAAATGGTCAAAAGATTAAAATTTTATTTTTTATCGACTAAAAAAAATCAAATGTCAAAATAATATTTTTACTTATAAAAAAAAATTAATTTATTTTTATAAAAAGAAGTCACTTGATTATTTAACAGGATTAAGCCTTGGCACTTCATTGCTTTCATGAGCCTTTCCTCTCTTTTACTTTCATATTTTTCACTTTCGTATTTATTTTCCCTGTATCTTATTTTTTTCTTTTTTCTCACTTAACCTAGTTTTATTTTAGTGTATAACATTTCACATAATTTTGTCTCTTTTTTTCGCATCTTACACTTGCCATTTCTCATATTTATTATTTTATTTATAGATGCTCAATTTTGTCGTCCTTACTATCGTGAGATCGTTACTACTTTGCCAAGTTTCACACTACCACTCAAACCCTCACATTCTTTTAAAATTAACTAGCGGTAACCCGTATTATGCACAGAAATCGAAAATATATAAGTTAAATAATTTATTATACTTATTTTTGTATTATAAAATATAAAATTCTTATAAATTTAAAATATAATAGAAAGTTATAACTAACAAATATTTTGAATATGATAACTATCTAATACCTAAGTTCATACATTCATTTTTTCTATCAATTTGTCATTTGAAACATTGATTATAAAATTATCTTAGTCCAAATAGGTCATTTAGCAGCATGAACTATATTTCTATCGAACATTATTCTAGCTTTAAAAACAAATAATGTAAAAGTGGATACGATTACAAATAATATAAAAATGTAAAAATGAATACTACTACAAATAATGTAAAAATGTTCAAAGGCCCCTTTAAAAAAAACAACAAAAAAATTGCCCCCACTACATATACATATAGCTATACAAAGAGAATAAAATTCATCAAAACCCTAAAATTCTACAATTGCCTAACCACTTATAACGTTGTCGATGGTTGAATGTAACTCGAATCTTAAACGTAAAGTTTGAACAAAACTTTATACCCAATATGTAAACATTAAAAAAACTCGATGGCATGTTAAAATATATAGCTAAAGTGTGAAGCATTTGAAAAATAAGTGTAACAACCCTCGTCACTAGTTACCGAATAACCACTGATTACCGTTAAACTGAAACTGATTATGATTGATAACTGAACTGATTTAAATATTGAACTGATTGACTGAAAACCGGAACTGACTTGACGGGGTATATCTGTTAAATTGTAATTCTATCTGTTAATTGTTTATTTGATATGTTCGTATTTTAGTGTTTAAACTGCTAATTGAAGGCCTTATCGACGGCCGAACCGGAAACCGATTAGCGTTTTGTGATTAACGTAATTTATGTGATTTATGGTATAGTTATCCGAAATTGATTTTGAATGATTAAATTAGATTAAAGTAAGTTAAATTGCATAGTTTGACTTAACTACAACTTTGCCCTTGAGTGGGCCACTACACCAAACCTTGTTTTAGGCTTGACCTTGTATATACATTGAATCAAAACATTTCATCAGTCCATTTTCCTTGTTCAACCGGCCATAGAGAGAAGGGAAGTGAGAGAATTGAGTTCACTTGTAGATTTGCTTGATGAATTGAAGACTGAGGCCTCGTTTGGGAACAGGCTAATTTAGTAACTTTTTGGCTAATTGGCTAAAAAGGTAGGTAAAAAAAACTTGTATGTTTGGGATGACTTTTTGACTAATCACGAAAAGCTGTGCAAAAAGTAGAGAGAAGCCGTAATTGTTGACTTTTTGGTATGACTAATTGGCTAATTGGCTAATTTAGTAACTTTTTGGCTTTTTGGCTAAAACAGAGCCTTCCCAAACGAGGCCTCAGATTTTGTAATTGAGCTCCTAAACCTCGAATACAATACTAAGGTAGGAAACTTACCTTCTTATTGTTGTCATTGAGCTAGTTCTTGCATGATTCATACTTCATTGTAGGACTAAGTCATGATTTGGTTCAAAAATGTTGAATTGGAGCTCATTCCATGCATGCATGTTTGAATTGTTGAATTTGAGTTGATTCCGTGGAGAATTGTCTCATGCATGCTCATGGTTATGTTAAGTCCATGATTTCATCTTGTTTTAAAAAGAATTGGCTCACTAGAGCATCAAATTGAAGCTTTGAAATGGTTTAAATCCATGCATGTCATGTTTCTTGCATGTTCATGAAAATTGGTTTTAAATTGAGTTTGTTTGAAACACCCTTGGGCTTTGATTTTACAAATTGAGCTTTGAATCATGTTAAAGTATGAGTTTTGATGTGTTTTCTGGAAAATTGGCCCAAGAGGATCGAAATTTATGGTTTAAAACTTGGTTTTGAGCTTGAGGTTCAAATCTGGAATTTCCAGAATTTGAACTCACGCTCGAGCAGGGTGACTGGCGCTCGAGCATGGAAATCGTGCTCCAGCATTTTGTTCTGTTTTGAAGTCCGCTCGAGTGGAAGAATTGACGCTCGAGCGGGACATTGTGTCTTATGCTCGAGCGGGCGTCGAGCGCCCAATCGAGCATGATTTTCGCCTATCCAGCACTTTTGACTGTTTTGCAGAACGCTCGAGCGGAAAACTTTGTCTGCATGTCCGCTTGAGCGGAGTAACCTACGCTCGAGCGTGACCCCTATTTTTTGAAAAGTCTGAAAATGCTTTTAAAGTGCATCTTTGCATCCTCATCCCATCCTAGGCATTCTTATGCCTAGTTTAAAACATCTTAATGAGGATATAGATGTAGAACCACACCGAGGCAATTAGGGATTAAGTTATTATCTTTCCCAACTGTGTAGCTTAGTGTGTGTCCAATCTGTAACTGTGTAGGGTTGGCGACTGGGGACGCACTCTAGCTTTACTGTAGCCCAGAACTCTGTGAGTAACAACTGTGTAAATATATGTTCAAAATGATTATCTTCTGAACAACTGAACTGTACTGCTTTCTGAACTGTTACTGTTAATTGAATGAATGTATGTCCGATATTCTGAACTGTACTGTGGCATCCTTAGCAACTACTGTTTACTGTTACTGTTACAGAGATCTCTGTCGGTTCCCTTGTTGAAACCACTACTGTTTACTGATTGATGGCCGTCATTTACTGCTCGGTCTTTTAAGACCTACTGTTTACTGTACTGTTATGCTAATGGATGTACCACATATGACTGCACTGACTGAACGACTGAAATACTGATTTAATGAACTGTTTTCATTACTGTAAGGACATTCATTCTTAACCCCTTTACGCATTGTGTTATTCACTGGGCTTTAGCTCACTGCTCATATATATATGTAGGTATATAGGCACCAGACCACAGCTAGAAACGTCGGGGTAACTCCAGTTTTGTCGAGCCAACCTATGTGCCTCAAAGCGAGATTCCGAGCCTGTCAAGTTATGGCTTAGGGGTGTTTTAATTCCCCCTTCTGTCTCTGTAATCGTTTTGTAGACTGTACTGTACTGTTTAATAGGGATTAGGTCCCTGACTGAATGATTGTATATATATGTACATACTGTTTCGTCTGACTGTATATATATGAATGAAAAGTCTTTTTGCATACAGATTATCACAGCTCATTGGATACTGTCTATTT